TGAACGACATTACCATTATATCTGGCTAAGATGGGCACTATAGCGAATGCGGTTTCACTTGCTGGAGTCTTGTCCAAAGTCATATCACTACACTGTTGAGCGTTAATATGCACATCATTTTTTATATCGTCGGATGATCCCTGGCTTCTGTGAAGCAATGTATGGTGTCTCCAACCACAACCTTCAACTGTACAGGACCTTGGAGATCGGCAATTCTTTGCTATGTGACTTGCTTTTAAACATACGTTGCATAGTTTTCTCTTGGAAACAAATGCCAGACGTTTATCAAGGTCTTTATCTTTAAACTCCAAACAGTGGTCTAGGAAATGGCCTCCCGAACACAATATACAGGGTGGGATGAATAAACGTGACTCGTTCTTAGGATCATTACTCGGCTTTTCGACATTATTCTCTGAGAGCCTGGTAACAAACACTCGGTGTTTAGAATCAGAGTTTTTCTTCATAGGGTTAGTAAACTCCTTACTATTTTTTTCCGTGGAATGCCCATTGATTAGCAGCCCATACCTGGTGTTAGCCATATCTGACTGCTCCTTAACAAACATGCATAAGTCGCTAAATGATGGTTCGCGACCGCTCTTTATGACGTTGCAAGCCACCTTTATCCATTCTCTCTGTGAATGAACAGGGAGTTTTAGGACTAGTTGTTCAATAGTTTTACCAGAATTCAAATCTGAAACATAGTTCATCTGCTTTAAAGTCAATTTGCAGGCTTGCATCCGTGAGATAGCTTCCTTAGTAATGCTGCATCATTGCTTTTAACACTTGGAAATTCTAGGAGTTTCTCTATGAAGGTTCGGGCCACAACATGCCTTTGCCCAAATGCTTCCTCTAACAGTTGTAGGGCTTTATGATAACCTTCCTCTGGCTCTAACAAAGCACAGTGTTTGAATACATCTTTGGCTTCTCCTTCACAATCAAGTAATTTAGCTTACTTCGAAATCCGATGGCATCATTATCCATCAAGCCTTCAAAATTCTTTATAAAATTCCAATAATTTACAGGATTACCGTCAAACTTAATTATCTCTCTTTTAGGCATGTCCAGAAACTTGGACATGGCTCTGGCAAGCTCATCGTTAGAAGATACAGCGACCGTATGCGAGGTAGAAGGCTTGCAAGGTGACTTATTATGATTAGAACATTCACGACTAGCTTGTCGTGAATTTCTCTTTCTTTCTCTATTTGGACTATACGCATTTTTGCTAGCTCCAGCTCTACCATATAATGTGATTTATTCTCGTTGCTTCCAGGGAAATCAGCTTCATTACTCTTTTCTAACTGTGGAGTTAACGACGGCATAGTTTCATAACTTTCGTCTGCCTTACTGTTCGAAACTTTGTAGGATTATTTTTTGTTCTACAGATTTCGTCCTTCCTCAATACTGACGACACAGAGTCTTGGCTTTACTATAGTTAAAACAGAATGACTTGACTTAAACTTTATCTGTTTCTAAAACATAAAATAAATCATACAATTACACCAAGGAAAATGTACAAATCCACTGTCATTCAAAAAAGAACAAAAACGTACCGAACAGTATTGAAATTACGGACAAAATGAACAGCAAATTAATTACATGTACACACAAATAAAGTAACAGACAACAAAGAACATTCAAGGTCACATCACGTGGTGAGAGTTACAATAGATTGACCAATAATCGCGACAAGAAGGTCACATCATTTTGATTAGCTATCTATCATATAGTCCATCTATCTGTCGCGATTAACAATTGGTGCTGGTTGTTGTTGCGGTTCGTTTGTTATCTTCATCACCTCCATCTTCCCTATGTTCACTTGGAGTCTTGTCTTCGCTGCAAGACTCTTTAGCCAGTTAGTTGGTTTTCGCCTGCAAGTCTTCGAGTTTGTGTGACACTAAAACATAAATCTTCCACACCTGAAATCCACATCTGCTAGAGTCTTATCGATGCAATGTATTCCTGTCGTTTAGCTGCCTCACGCCGTCCTAAAATGATCCAGTCTACCACAGTTAAGAACATCACCAGTGGTAGTAGGCAACCTACCTTGTATTACTCTTGTATTCAGTGAATTTTCCGTTGTGGATCACTTGACGCAAGGCATTGTCATGTCACCAGCTGTTGAACGAAGTTGATAAAGACTAGGGCACTGCACGTCATAATGCTGAAGCAGTTTCCGAATTACTTCTCAGTCAACGCTGCTCATTGGAGGACTTTTGCGAAGTCAATGAAGTTGAAGTAAGGAGAGGTTTGACTGCCATTCTATGCTTTGTTTTGTGAGGACGATGTGTAGCGTTGCAATTCGATCAGCACATGATTTGACTTTCCGGAATGCAGCTTGTTCAGGCGGTCTGGCAGAGTTCTGCATCCAATGCATCCTTTATTTTTTCCAGGATGATGCATTATTAGCATTATTCCACGCCAGTTCACGCAGAGGCCTAGGTTGCTCTTCTTTGACATCTTGATAAAGTCGTCTTTCCTCCAGTCGGCAGGTACCTTTCCTTCCTTCAAAACCTCTTGTAATACTGGCATAAGGACATCTGCCGCCGTTTCTGGGTCCGTTTTTAGTGCTTCGTGGGGAATTCCGTCTGGTCCTGCTGCCTTCCTGTCCGGTGTTCAGTATCTTCATCGCATTCAGAATTTCTGCTTTCGTTGGAGGATTGATGTTCACTGGCAGGTAGTTCCGTGCGTGCTGTTGGTGGTGGTGGGCGAGTTTCAGGTGACGGTCGACTCAAGAGTCCTTTGAAGTGATCAGCTCATTGTTTTATTTGTTACCGCTCCTCCTTGGTAATCAGGTTCCAATGAACATCTTTTTTGTTTTCATCATTTGGGTTGGTCCCTTCCCGGATATAAACCTGGTTATCTGATATAATGTCCCGAGGTCTCTTTTACCCACGCCATGCCTGCCTACTTTGCTTCAGTTGCCATCCAGTGCGTCGCAAAATTGTCTTTTGTCGTTTCCAGCACTGCTTTATTCAGTGCAGTGCACATTGAACTCACTTTCTCCTTCTGTTGCCCATCTATGCATTGAGTCATCTTTTTCACCATCCTGCTTTCTTCTGTTAGCTGTCAGGTATCCGTCAAGAGCCACTCCTTGTCTTGTCTCTTCTTTCCTCCTAGAAAAGTTGTACACGTTCCCTTGAATATCGCCTTCAGATAGTTCCAATGTTCTTCCACACAGGTTTCTTCGGTGATAACACGAAGTGTTTCCGACTGTGCTCTGATCTGACCTGTGGTGGTGGTATCCCCTGTAGTTTTGTTCTTCAGTTTCTGAATGTTGAACTAGAGTTACAGTGGTCTGTCTGCAGTTGTTCTGAAGGATTTCAGGTTCACCTTGTAGGTTCCTTGGAGTAGACGATGGTGTGGGCCCACATCTGCTCCCCTTCTCGACTTTGTATCCAGCAGGCTGCGTCTCCACTTCCTTGAGCAGCATTGAGATGAAATCTACCTGGTTTGTGGTATGTCCGTTGGACGAAATCTATGTCGCTGACCTTGCGTATATCCTTGTGTTTGTACACACTCTCTCCGATCACAAGATAATTGAAATCGCAGAAGTCTGCGAATTATTTTGCATTCTCAATCGTGTCTCCGACGAAGAGCCTCTCAACCCGTGATGAGTTCTCTTCCTGTAATATCAGCTCCCCGTTCGGTTGGCATTCATATCGCCCGTGAGGTTTTTGATGTCACCATTTGGGATGTTGTCCATTATTGCTTGTAGTTGTCCACAAAAATCTTTCTTCTTGTCTTGTTCCGCGCCGTTTTTAGATACGCAGCACTGGATGATTGTAACCTTCCTTCCTTCCTTTTGAATTGAATCTTACTATGGTCATAATGTGGGATAAAATTGGTTCCACTCCATTAGGGCTCTGGATGCCACTGGTGAGATCATTATAGCCACTCCCTCAGTGTGTTCGTGGTTGTCGTCTGGTTGACCAGACCGGAGCAGATTACTGACTCTCCAGTTGACAGTTTTGACAGTCCACATCCATTCCATCTGCTCTCACAGATACTCAGCACGTGTATGCCATATCTTCACATTTCGTTGGCTGCCTGAGCAGGCTTCTCAGTCTCGTACATTGCATGGAGATTCCCCGTCCCCATTCTTACTGTTGCTTTCATCGAGAGAAGACACATCGGCTGGCTGGCTTCCCGCAGGCTTTCACCAGCCCGCTGTGCCATTTCGCCTCTCCGATTTGAGCGAAGAATAAGTTTGTTTTTTAGAATTTTGTATTATTAATATTTTTCCTTTGTGGCCAAGTTTCTGTGGCAGTTTGAATGGTTTATTGGTGTAGGGTTACTAGCCCTACTCTCAACCCTCGCTGTTAACCCGGGCTTGAGACCAGCGAGAAAACTAGCGAGCTAGTCAACTTGCTGATGGTCTATGATCACTAGCATCGTCGTATTTATTACTCTGAACTCAGCAGATGATAAGGTGAGGCGTTTAGTAGCAGAAACCGAACACCATAGTAATATGACAATATTTTAATAGGGATGTCATCGCTAAATCCCTCGGAAAGTCCATGTTCACGACTTGATATTCTGATCAACTCTTATGTCAAGTAAACGTGCACCCAAATTCTGATAGAAATTAACTGGAACTTGGAATATCCAAAGCCTTCATAGCATATAACTTTGCAGGATTTTTAAAAGGTAGGAAGGTTGGAGAATATGAGACTCACATGTATATGACACATTTTTTCACATGTTTTGAATGAGTACTTTCAAAGTGACTGTTGTGAAACTGAATTGCGAACTAAGAAGACAGGGTCAGCAGCAATATAGAAACGATTACAGTTATATTTCAGAAACTTAATCCAGACTATCAATAATTTAATAATCTTTCACCATGACTTATATTGAGGCATACCGTGAGATTATATGGATTCCATTTGACATGCAAACCGGTAATAAGCAACCGTTCAGTGGTTGTCGACACCACTCAGAGGAAAATTATTTCGTCACTTTGCTTCACGACATATTGGCAAGAGGTCATGTAACTGTAAATGTCTACAAAACAAACCCAACATGTCAATAAGGAAATATTTGGAAGTAAATGTTTTTCTGCATCTAATCTACACAATCGGTGGGCACAGTGCGCGATTATTAATCTGAGTACGGTTACACCTGCATACGGTGGTTGTCGGTTGAATTTCGAGGAATCGGTCCAATTGTGTGTTCATTTCCGTTACTTTGAGACCTATGTGAATATGGATATTAGAAGAAGGACAACATACCTCTCTAGAGGTATCGATGGTCGTCCGTCGCACAATTACAGGTCATTTTTCCAATCAGCTCAAAGGAAGTATTACAATGTTGATCCTGATAGTGGTATTCGCGTAGTTGGGCCAATGTTCGAATTGACTGCGTGTGTGGAATTAAAGGGAGAGTAAGTCTGACAGGGTAGATAATAATTATGCATCTAATCAAATGAGGATAGTTAATGCTTTGGAAATAGATTTAGGTCGGGTTGAACCCCTTATATACCTATTTATGATATGTCACTTACATAGGACGAGTAACAGTGTCCTAAACCTTGATAAAAACATTCAGTCATGAGGTGAGGGGCAGATAGGGATATATACTGACTCAAATTTGTCAAAGACGCAGTTGGATCAGCGCGTAAACTAGTGTTCGATTTGATGCTTGATACCAATCGGTAATTATTGCCTAGTTGCATTAGAGTTAGTTTCCTTAGTATCTTAAGTATGTGGTTCGATTTGTGTGTATACACCACCACGACCGATGTGGGTGATCCAGTCTGCATAAGCACACTTTGATTCTGTCTAATTAACCATTGTCGTTTATGTGTAGAAGATCAGCTTTTAGCACCAATTAAGACTACACAGTGAAACTTTATTCTGTTAAGCAGAACATAGAGACTTAGTTAGCACGCATCACTTACAGATTTGTTCTGAGTATTGTACTAAGTGTTTACCAATACCCTGCAAATAATGTATTTATACCATCTTTATTGATGTTATATCTAGTTAGTTCTATGGCAAGCAGATGTTGAATGAGTAGATATTATCAGGAGAGCTCGGTTAAATAGCCAAATTGAATCTGAAGGTAGGTAGGTACTACCAGAACAACGCGTTCTTGTCGAGAATAATAATTTGATGGAAATGTTTGTGACTTTACTGTGCTGATGATGTTTGAAATATGATCACTTATGAGAATGTAGCAAAGTTTTATCTTTGCGCTTTGATTTAAAATCGTAGTTCGTCTCTACGTATTTCAGACCATAGTTTGCATATGCATCGGTTACATGTAGTCATGTGAAAGAACTGCCGATGGAATTGTTTTGCACTGTGGTTTTGAATATGAGGCTCTAGAAATTCCTTTTTGTTCTAAATAAACAGTTATCTCTAAGTTTGTTTCTCTTGTATAAATGGTCAAAACGAGGCTGTGGGCAAAATGCATAACTATGAAACGAAGTGTTATTGTGGTACCTTAGTTCCGCTATGGGTAGCCGTGTGCACTAAGGAGAGGTAAAATGTCCCTTTTTATAACAAATTAATTTAGACCGTTTTTGGGATAAAACTGTATTTTTCAGCGAAGAGACTTCAATGATTTCTTTGTTCACTATCATACATAGTTTTGCTTGGTAATTGTTTTTATCAGGTTTTAATTTTAAATGCATAATCATAAGCAAAACAGACTAGTTGCAAAGAATAGTGAGTACTGATCAAAATGTAATGCTAATTCAATAAAAGCTACATATATAATTACGAAATTCTACAAAGTGCTTGGTAAGTGAGTTGTTTTTGAATTGAATACTCGTACAGGAGACATTTAATGTAACTCAGGAGTAGCACAAACTGAAAAGCGGATAATTTTCTAAACATAAGATTGAGGTTGTGAAATATCCAGCGGTATAGTTTTCTGGGTGAATGAAATATTTTCTGTGTGATTGGCCTCAAGCAATTGTCCTGTCGTATACGCCAGATCTAAATACAGTCATTCGCATGGCCTATCAGGCAACAATAATGAATCTACAAAATTTATCCTGTGGATGTCCGGAGATTCTCGTCGATATACTGCTGTAGATATACCACGTCCCTCAGGAACAGAAATCTCACTCAAAAATATAGAATTGTCCTTCCACCTCAGCTTTGTGGCTACAATGATGAGTTTTATGCATGTATTATCAATCAAGTTACACTTATCATATGGGAACCCTGGGTTTTCAGTATCAGCTACCCATTCTCCAGACTAGGCTTTAATTAACCTGCCAGTAGTTAATTCATGGGGAATCTCATGACAGTCCTGTCTTTTTGTTTGTAGTTTGTATTACTACCAACTACACAATATGCATCTCAAAATTAATCCTATGGGATATCTAATCGGTATACTAATACCTGGGTTATATATATATATATATATATGTATATATGTATATATATATAACAAATGATTTCGTAGTAGGGCGTTTGGAAAGAGTGATTCAACCTGGAGAGATAACACCAGTTTATGAGAGACATTCACTTTTATATGCAGTATAACTTCGAAAGCGTGTTGATCTGATTTTTCTTTAACGTCTGCTAACTGAATGTTAATTCTCTGTGTGTTTGTATGTGTTAATTCTATCCTTAATGACTGTGAGACATTGCCATTTAAAGTGGAGGTTGTTAAAAGACTAGCTGTCTTTAACTATCGTCACTTGCGTTGTATCTTCTGTTTCAAGCTGTGTAAGAAATAATGAGGTTAGGCGTAGGGTGTCGTGTAGAGAGGAAGTCGGTCGATGAGGGTTTAAAGCTTCATCGATTGAAATAGCCGAGATGGGCATCACGCATGCCGAATCACCAGCTTTCTTGAAGAGCAATGTTACTTGACTTTGGATTAGGCTGAAAAGGAGTTTGGAGTGGTCAAATCAAAACATGTCATCAGTCTATGAATTCTTAGATAGTTAGCTTGGGCTATATAGGGAGGTGTAAACTGCCTGGTGGGGGCTAAAGATGCTTAAACCTGATGACCAGAGGCTGTTGGTGATAAGACTCAAAATGGTTGTCTGTAAAGCACACGCATCCACTCCTTGTAATCTCCCAGAGCCACGAAGCCTTCATGTTTTCCCATATTACCATACTTTGTGCCGTACATTTCTTCTCATGATAATTTTTTTGAATTTCTTTCCTCAACATTTGTGCCACTTGAAGTGTTGCAACTTTTATTGCTGCACCTCTGTGCAAAGTTCTTTGTTAAAACTCAGTATGGCAGTCCTTAGACTTTCAGTAGTTCGCTTTTCAACTAGTTCGTTTCTGATCTCTTTAGGATGTTTCAGAAGTGTGCTGCTGTGTGAATATCTGGTCTAATCTTTTCGGTCTGTTAGACCTTTTTCAGTTCACTTTATCGGTGTAACTCTACTGCACCTCAGTTTTTAATATCAGTTTGTTGGAAGATTTAGTGGTATCTGTCAGTAATGGTTGACATAAGCTTTTAAAATCTTGATCAACTGCTGAACAAACTTTCGAATTGCATATGTGATACTTTGTAATATGAGTCTTAAAGTCAGGATTTTATGTCTACATACGAGGAGATACGTATCAAGGTAAGAAAGAGTCATAGTACTTTTATCGTTACACCATCAAGGAATTTTTAATTAGTTTTGATACAAATGGAAATCTTTTTCTTTTAGTAAATAAGAAAATATTGTAAAATTAGTGCATACATTTGATGTAATAGCCATTGTGCAATAGAATTACTATAGCAGTATGACTTGTTTCCAAAATTTTAGTGAAGACGATTTTGAAACCATGTATCCAGATACATCTCTCTCATTCGGTCCAACTATCTGTTCCTTCGGTTTGAAGTATAATGACCATAATTACGCTCTTCCATCAGGCTTAACGCCTCCTTCAATGGCCCCTCATTTAATGGATCTACAGATACCGAAAAGCAAATTCCCAGATAGCCAATCAAGTAATTTATTTTCCAAAAGTCTCTTCGCTCAAAAGTCAAGTTCTAAGTTTACTACTGGAGACATTCAAAGACAAGGTACTGACAAGCATTTCGACAAACAGGGTGCTCCATCTTCAAAACGCTTTACAACTGATGAAAGTGATGGCAAAAAGCATTCTGATGGACCATGGGAATTGCAGTCTGAAGACTCCGAAGATAAAACTTCCAATACCGATTCCAAAGATAATTATATGACTTCTCGTTATAGTTCACAAGTCCCAAACTATGAACAAATGGAATTACGTTGCGAACCTGAATTAAAGGTATGTTTTTATATATAAATTGTTTTGTGCCACAATGTCTTGTGTTTACATATAATGAAGTTGTGCAACGATGATCCTCTTTTCCTTATCACAGATGACCACGTTTTCTAATATAGTCATCTTAGTTAATATATGGTGAGTGGGGATTGAATGATTCACTATCATGTTACTCCTGGTGAACAGACAAAATGAATTAAAGTAGGCCGTATTTGTTTAAGACACCATACTCAATATCTGCACATCGAGTAACAATAATACATCCTGAAGTTTTGGTATAAGACAGGAAGGAAAGATAAAGCCGATAAAGTTATAATCAAAGTGAAGATAACTAGTAATATATGTAGATAACTAGGGTCAGTTTACAGTCTTCAACCGTCGCCTTCTGTAGCCACATTGATCCCATCCAGGCAGCCTAAAATTCCCCACGTGACTCAGGCTAACAGTTAGTGACTTCACAGATTGGTATTGTGTTCTGGTCTGATTACCTTTCAGCTTCTCCCAGTCTAGTCCGACTTGGATCAGATGGTGAGTAAACTTGTGCTCCATATCCAGCCACCTTAGGTAGTGGAGTTCCACAACTCCCTCAGTTAGGCTGTTCACTCTGCTTAGTACTCTATACCTAACCTCTACTTCACTTGCATGATAGCCTTATTCAATGCAGTTAATGCAACTGAAATAAGTGAATAAATTCTTTGAAGCCTGCATACAACCTCTGCATTCAGCATTCATGTTTCCCTGCTCTCTACTTTGTTCAAGGTGTGAATTATTCAAAAAACTTTATGTAGAATATTTTATATCTTTTTTAATTTAGAGAACAAATACTAAACTATGACTCACCATTTTTGTGTGACATTTTTAGTGTCGTACTTTGCATTTGCATTATCTGAAGGTTGTATAAGGGTAAACACATCCTAAGGATGAGGTCACCAAACTCGTAATTCCCCGTACAGTCAAAGCAAATTATTAGGTAATATATTAAAATTAGCATGAGAATGAAGTGTTGGTGCATCTACGCCATTTCGACTAATTGTGAACCGTGTCATACTGTGGTGTGAACATTTTCATAAACGTTTAGCATTTATATTATACACTATTCACATCTTTCATTTTTGTTTAAACCAGATTCTATACTGGAATTATAAAACGAATAAAGCCTTTATTGCGGGCCCTCAATATTCTCACTTGATCGGTGAATGTTTGATTAACTCATAAACACTACACATACTTATTGTACTGTCTTGCAGATCCAATCCAGGTAATCTGTTCCTCTGTACATCACAGCGACCGATAGTCTATGATTTCACTGATTAGTCTTAAGAAGGGTGAATTATAGGTAAGCATATGCGTCGGTGGTAAAGCGGTTAGGACTCTCGCCGACCATGCACATGGTTCGGGTTTCGATCGCCTGCCGACGCACACCTGATATCAATGGTCGGTCTGCAAAATTTGGGCTACCAATATCACATGCTGAAAATTCCATAATTGTACCAAAAATACTGTATGGATTCAAGTTATAATAAAAACATGTACCACATAGGAATCCCTATGCAAGGTTGTCGGATAGAGTGATGACAACCAATCTTGTTCACCAGAGATGTGGAGTCTTCTGAATGGCATGGGTCAAACTGTGAATGTATTTGGCATGCTCTTCCCCTCTGTCTACTCTAAGGTGAGAACTGTTCTCTACATATCCTGAATTAAAGTGATTGAATGTATCGATCATTCCACTTAGCTGACAAGCTGCCTCAACCTTAATTTATTGACTCTGAGGAATTGTCGGTACAGATAGGTGAGACTCATTTTATACCTCCGTTAGGAAATGTGTTATGTATGCCTAACCTAGCCATCGCCTTCCTCGACGGGAATTGTTAGCTGACATAGGAGTGATCAGGTTGGAAAAGAGCTAGTGGTGGTGGCGGTCAAGCCAAGATATGGCTTCATCAGTCAATGAAATCCACTATAGTTAACTTAAGACAGTCACGTAGGGTGGTGTGGACTTCCTGATTGGTGTCCTGAGGGCGGTGAAAGGCAATGACTTGAGACAATTAGTGTAATGTCTCAAATTCGTTCTCAATGGCTGCCACAGATGCATCCACTCCTTGTGACTTATAATATCCAATGAAACTATATTGTTCTTCCATACTACTATTCTTTTTGCCTCATACCTCTGTTTATTATCTCTTTTGAATTTCTTTTTACTCTCTTCTCTTGCTTTGTGTGTTAAGTGTAATGTGTCAACACGAACTGCTGCACATCGGCGCAGACTTTTATGCTGAAACCAATCAGTCCGTCATTTTCAACACCAGCTCCATACCTGGTGACGTTTTAAAGTTGAGGTATGGTTGATTGATGTGTTCTAGAGTTTAGGTAACTAGATCATGGTCTTGAAACCCCATTCGTCTGCCGAGGTTCGGAGAGTCACGTAGTGTTACCAGCATTACTCAAATTGTAGATGTAACTTATGGCCAAGCGCAAGTAGTTGTTCAATGACGTTTCAGTAATCTCGAAAAGGATATAGGGTAAATACACTTATACCATTGTAAACGATTTACGATTATGTTATCAAACTTTTCAAACCCTTGCTTCTTAAAACCTAGAGAACGCCGAAGAGACAATCTCTGTAACGGCAGAAGCCAGGAGAATCGGTAACGGAATTCTTTATTACAACTTGATTCACAGATACAGGCAAAACACGTCTACCATGTGGTAGAGTCATAAGTGGCATATATCCTCGATATTTCCCCACTTTATCTTCCTGTCATGTTTCTCATGTTTCTCAAGCATCGTTCATTAAATTCATCTCTCCGCCATTCGATATTCTTGACTCTGGTATACATATTTATATCCGCATCTATTTACTGCTTATTTTTTTCCTTCACGTTCCCCAGTGGAACATAGGGCTTCAAGCTAGTGGCTTGAAGTTTCTGTAGCAGTGTTTATTTTTACAGGATGGGGTTGCTAGCCTCATGCCCAACCTTTCCTCTTCACCAGTATTATTTCTGGCTTAGCAAGGTAAAGGAGTACGTCGTCCGGGGATCGAACCCCAGACCACGTGCATGGTCGGCGAGCGTCCCAACCGCTATGCCACCGACGCACATTTACTACTTATAAATCTGGTTAACAACACCCTCCACACTCACACCCTTGTACGTGAGTTAGGCTTTTAATCAGTGACTTCATCGATTGATTCTAGGCTTTCGTTTGACTACCGTTATTATTTGCATTGCGATTCAGTTTTTACCTAACAGTAAGACCATAAGTGTAACACTTATTTCACTATTTGATTTACCTTAAGTGTCTTCATTAATGAGTGCTGTTAAGTGAAGTAAATGTGTCTCACAAACTGATTCATAAATGTTCATCGATTATATTATATTATTATTGTTTCCTTTAGTCCCTAGAGGAACATAGGGCTTCAGTATCTCCATTGCGTTCGGTTCTCTGCCAACGTTTTCCCCTGGCTTTACATGTGCCCATATGCTTTCATCTCCTCTTCACATGACCTCCTCCATGCCACTCTTGGACGACCATCTCGCCGCTTCCCGTTCGAGTCCCACTCGAGGGCCTGTCGTGTGATGTCACTTGATGGTTTGTTTTCTCAGAGTATGGCCAATCCACCTCCATTTCTCCCTGCATATTTGTTGCACAATCGGTTCCTGGTCGGTTTGCTGCCAGAGATCCCTGCTGCTGATCATTTCTGGTCTTCTGATCTTGAGAACTGAGCGAAGGTCTGTCTGTCTGTTTTCGACATAGAACTTTGCACATATGTGCGGCAGTTCAAGTCGCCACACTCCATGTAGCAATCAAAGGAAGAGAAGAAAGTAGGAGAAATGCATAATATAGACAGTAAGCAGAGGTGTGAGACAAAGGAGTAGTGATAACGAAGAACGAACAGTTTCATCGGAAATCATAAGTCACAAGGAGTGGATGCATCTGCGCCACTGAGAACGATTTTGAGCCATGTCACCAATTGTTTCCAACCATTGGTTTTTACCGTCCCGAGGACCCCAACCAGGAAGTCTACATCTCCCTACGTGACTTAGACTAACTGTTGTGGATTTCATTGACTGGTGCCAAGTTTTCGTTTGACCACCGCTAGCTCTTTTCCAGCCTGGCCCTATATCAGCTAACATTGCCCGTCGAGGAAGGCGATGACTAGGCATACGTAACACATGTCCCAACCATCTCAGTCGATGTAATTTCACAGTCTCATCGATTGATTTCCCGGCCTTACCTAGCACTCGACGCCTAACCTCAATATTGCTCACCTTATACCACTTCACGCGGGAGATGGAACTCAGACACCTATGATCGAAGGTCTGTAATTTGTTTGAAGTGCCCATCGTGACGCGGCGCCAAGTCTCTGATCCGTATAGTAAGTAGCACTGACTTCACATTGGAGTTGAAAATCCGGATCTTGTTTTTCATGCTGAGTGCTGTTGACCTCCACACAGACTTGAGAGTAATGAAAGCTTGCCTTGCTTTCCCGATCCTCGCTTTGATATCCTCATCAGTTCCGTCCGCCTGTAGTTGAAACGATGCTTCCCAGGTAGGTAGGTAAAGGATGTTGCTTCTTTCAGATTTCTCCCATTTTTGCTGATTGCTGTCTGCTTCTGTTGCTGTTGCTCAGGAATATTCATTACCTCTGTCTTCTCTATGTTCACCTGAAGTCCTATCTTTGATGCTCCTTCTGCCAACTTGTTGCTTTTCACTTGCATATCTTCCAGTTTGTGGGAAATCAGACATATATCACCGGCGAAGTCCAGATCCTCCAAGTTTTTTGTGAGTTCATTTTATGCCTGTTTCCTCATTGCCCCCTGTTTGTCGCATTATCCAATCTACTGCAATCAGGAAAATCATTGGCAATAGTAGGCAGCCAGTTTGTCTTACTCCTGTCCTCACTTCGAATCCAATCCACAGGTACCTTGCCCTCTTTCCACACCTTCTCCAGTAGTGGTGTCACCAAGTCCGTTGATGTCTCTGGGTCCATTTTCAATGCTTCTGCTGGGATTCCATCTGGTCCTGCTGCTTTTCCAGTTTTAGCATTTCGATTGCCTTCAGGATTTCTGTCCTCGTCGGAGGTTTGATGTCCACTGGTAGTTCTGCTTCCGTTGTTGTTATTATTGGCCTGTTGTAGGTTGCGGTCGATTTAGAAGTCTTTTGAAGTGTTCAGCCCAGTGTTTCCTTTGCTCTCCACCTCTTTGGTGATTGACTTTCCATTGTCATCCTTCACTGGCTTAATTTGTGTTGAACTTTTCCCCGATAGGTACCTAGTTGTTTGGTAGAGTGTTGCGAGGTCTCCTTTGCCTACATCTTGTTCTGCTTCACTTGCCATAGCTTCATAATATTTTCTTTTGTCTTCCCTGGCACTCTTCTTTACTCTTTTGTTCAGTGTCTTATAGCTTGCATTCAAATCCTGTTTTTGTTGCTCGTCGATGCAGTGGATAATCTTTTGTTTCACCATCCCTCTCTCTTCTATCAGTCTCCAAGTGTCCGTAGTGAGCCACTGTTTGTCCTGTCTCTTCTTTCTGCCTAGAACTTCCATGCAGGTTTGACTCCACAGTTTTCAAGTTGTTCTAGTGCTTTTCGACGCTGACCTATTCGCCAGTGTTGATTTGTGTCTCGGCTTTGTCTTTTATGCTTGCAGTGAAGATATCCTTTGTGTCCTGCTCATTCAGTTTTTGAGTGTTGAACTTGGCTTGTGGTCTATCTGCAGCTCCTGTTTCTTTGAAAGCTTTTAACCTGATTTGGAGTGTTCCTTTTATGAGATAGTGATCTGAGCCTACGTCTGCTCCTCTTCTTACTTTTGCGTACAGTAAGCTGCACCTCCACTTTCTTGAGATTGAGATGAAGTCAATTTGGTTTATTGGTTCGCCCGTCTTGGGACACCCATCTAGCTTTACGCTTGTATACGCTGCCGCCAATCACTAGTTCATTGAAGGTGCAGAAGTCAGCGAAAAGTTCTCCATTTTCATTCATTTCTCTGAGAGCTCCTTTATCCATGTTCATCGAAGTTTCCCTGAATCAATTTATTGTCTCATAACTTTGTAATAACTTGTACATTTTTTCTTTCAGGTCATCGAAGTGCCTGAAGAGCTTGCAGTTTCACCTTCCCAACTAAGTGATTTGGATAGTGACACGTCAGATGGCGAGTATGTAAATAAAGTAAGTGTACTGATTTGAATCATTTTGTATGTTTGGATGAGGTATTGTTACAGAATAATTAAAAAAAACTACATAAATTGACTATATGTTGTTTGAAGTTAGTTGCCTGGGAACAGGTAACAAAGTTAAAACATCAAAAGCATATATAAATGAGAGAACACATTTTGTCCTGAGGAAGTTCGAACCAGTTTGCAGAACGAAACGTTGGAATTGCTTATTTCAGCTTCGCTAAGATTTATACAAATATAATTTTTCCATATGGCTGCTACTCACTTGGTGCCCAGTGTTTGGGACTATTCGGTTAAGTCTTGATTATGGAAGTCCTATAAAGTTAGTCACTTTCTATCCTAGTATTCTAACACAAAATGTGGTGTTTGTTGCCGTCATATAGTGACGTATGATATTGTTATTCATTTTGTTTACCAAATATTCGAGCGAATGATACTATGTGTTGTAGGACAGCTTATCCACATTTTCAAAAGACAACATTGGTAATATTCTGTATTCCTTTCAGATTATCATCCCTACTTCTGATGGATCATATGTTCAACAATCAGATGATAACACATGGACGGCTAGTAATGCATGGACTGATGTTCGTTGCATTTGTGGTCACTCTCAAATAAAATCTGGATTAATTCGATGCCCGAAATGCAGGTGAGCCTTTTCTTTTACAATTATGAATGATCCACATGCTCGGTTCAGAATTTCTTTCGTTACTCAAATTTGCTTGTATTAATGCTTTTCATTGGACATCCTGTGGGAGATCAAGTGATTCTTATCTTCATATTCATTACAATCCCGTCGATAAATGTTGAAGAGCATAATCTTCGTTCACCGTTGTGAAAGATGTTTTATTTTGCACTACTTTGAATTAGGTATTACTTTGGTTCTTAGTTTTGTTACGATTCTGTTGAACCACGAGTTCACTGTAACCTTTACTCCTTTCTCCGTCAAGTGTTAATAAAGAGCAACTAACTGTATTGTACACACACACACACTATGAACAGCACAAAATAGGGATATATAGATAAGATGATACGGTAAAAGACAAATATAGGTAAGGCGAAGAAAGGATAATTAAATGAAAATTACTTAGACTTCCTCTTAGTTGTTAGATCCTCTCGCCTAAGATTAAAAACAGTTTTCTCAACCTCGACTACAGTTGGAGGACTAATGTCTACCTAGTATTATGAACGCCTGGCGCTTCGCTTACAACCGGATTGTTGGACATGCAGTTATACCTATAGGAGCTTGAAAACCCTGATTTCAAACATATGGTGTACATGGGCTGCAGCATCCGAACAGATCGAATGGCATAAGAACCTGTTTTGGTCACCCGAAACCATGGGAACGCTGCTTCACTACCGCCTTGTGCATAAGACTTCAAGTTAAAGGCCGCTTAAGACAACAACGTGATTCGGTTTGGACCTCCCAACAGTATCCCAGTCCTCACACAAACTATAATATTTTGTGCGACGCATCTCTTGTTACACCTAAATGGACCATGTTTATGTTTTAATAACAATAACTATGTAGTATCCAGGCTTGGGCTAGATAGTGCTCAACTGTAGTGGATCTGCTAACCAGTTGAACTACCTCCTATAGTGTCTTGTCCAACTTTGCAGAAGTTAATAAGGTTCCATTCTTCTCAGAGACTTTTTTGCCCCCCCCCTTCCATCACAGCCTTTAATTTATTATTTTTTTCTGTTTGCACAATAATATGTCGCTTGCTTTTAAATTACATTCCTTCTTTCATTCATTATTTGATGGTGATAATAGTGTAACTATCGTATTTATTTTTTGTGACCAACAGTCTGCTCGATCCAGTGATTATTACTATCACTTCACTTTTGTTTTAGTGCTTGCCAACATGTACAGTGTATGGAGTCGTATTACAATGTAACTATGCCTCGTTTGAGTGATGGTTACACATGTAATCTGTGTAACATTGATAATATGGAAGGTCGAACTTCGCCTAAGAATCCATCAGATAAAAATCTTGCAGTGAATAAAGATGGTGTAAACGATCCGGCTGCTAATTCATCTGCTGAGGGCAACGGTGGAACTAAGTATGTTGAACTTGCAGCCGATAGAGCGAAGCGATTGGGTTTGCTGTCAAATACGACACTGGAATGTGATTGTCCCACACATCCTAGTTCTTGGCCAGGTCATCGTGCAAAAGAACATGATGCTTCTGGACGTTCTGGATGGGCACCTGTGAATTGGGAAAAATTGGTAAAGTATAAAAGTTGTTTATTATTTTCCTATTGTATGCTTTTGAAATTGTAGGGGAATAGTTATCTGCCTGGAATTTATGAGTTGGTCTTTCGTATCTCAGTCATTGATCTGCTTTGCAGAAGAAATACATGTGTTTATATTTATGCAACTCAATAAGTATGCATTTTGTCACACTGTAGTGCACTTCCTACTTTTATGTGTAAGTGCTGACGATACTACCTGGCTTTTCAAACCTCAGCGGGTTTCGAACCCATAACACAGTGGTTGTAAGTCGAATGTCAGTTTTAGTGAGTTGAATCCTTACTCATCTTTGTGTAGATACAAGAAGTCAGCTTATATATAAGTTGGTCTGGTCTCAAGTTATGTCTTAGACTTTTCCTGGAGACTGTTAACCAAACCATCGACTGACATTCTTGGCACTTCGAAACTCTACACAGTTACCAATAGGTTTTCTGCGAATTTCAGTCTGAATACTCAATAACGTTAACAAATTTTCATATTTGCCTAGCAGTGCAGCTTGATGACGAATGTGTTCTGTGCATAATTATCAGTCAGTTAGTTTGTGCACAGTTTATCTGAGAAGAAGGCAACTGATAGTCTACTCTGTGTGAATTTTGAAAATTATTATGTATTTTATATTATATATATTATTTCTAATAATTGTTCGTTGAAGTTTGTGTAGCAGTTTGATTGGTTTTCCGAGGCAAGGTCGCTAGCCCAACCCTCTCCCTTTACCCTGACTTAGGACCGGCTAGAAAACTAACCAACTAGTAAACTAGACGAAGTATATTTTAAAAATGCTGTTGTAAAATCATTAGGCTGTCAACAAAAGTTTTACTCACTTCCTTGAGAGCTTTATCCCTTCTTTCATATATGATGAAAAGATCGAGATATCAGTCTCTGCATCACCTTAGTGAAACATTTATCAGGTGACTTTTCTTTATTTCAGTACTCTAGTAATTCTGAGTTGTTGATAACTACGTTCTGTCACCTCATTATACTTTGTTACCTGTGTCACCTTGCTCCGTCCTTCTAGGTGAAGACACTGACCAAATGCAGAGTCTTCTGAACACATTGAGCAGCAGTCTTCGAATATTTAGCATGCGATTTGCTCCTGTCAGATGCAAGATGATGCTGCATGGCTGAACTATATTGACTCCTACCTCAGAGATAGGGAGTGAAGTAGCAGAGCGTGTTGACCATATCACTTATTTGGGAAGTTGCATCAACCAGTGCCAACGGTTTGATCACTGACGAAATCTCAGCACGGATACAGAGGGCTCGTTTTGCATATGCCAGTTTACGCCATTTCTGGCATAGACTTGATATGATATCCATCTATCGACCAAAAGGTGTGTGTACTGCTCAGCAGTTCGCTCCGTCCTCCTTTATGACTGTGAGACCTGGCCATTGAGAGTGAAAGACATAAAAAGACTGGCTGTCTTTGATCATAGGTACCTGCATTCTATCTCCCGTGTGAAGTGGTATAATAGGGTGAGCAATATTGAGGTTAGACTTCGGTTGACTACTAGGTAAGGTGGGGAAATCAATAGACGAGGCTATGAAGTTACATCGATTGACATGGTTAGGACATGTGTTATGTATGCCTAACCTAGCCATCGTCTTCCTCGACGGGAATTGTTAGCTGACGTAGGAGTGATCAGGTTGGAAAAGAGCTAGTGGTGGTGGTGGCAGTCAAGCCAAGATATGGCTTCATCAGTCAATGAAATCCAAAATAGTTAACTTAAGACAGTCACATAGGGAGGTGTGGACTTCCTGATTGGTGTCCTGAGGGCGGTAAAAGGCAATGGCCTGAAATAATTAGTGTAATGTCTCAAATTCGTTCTCGATGGCTGCCACAGATGCATCCACTCCTTGTGACTTATAATATCCAATGAAACTATATTGTTCTTCCATACTACTATTCTTTTTGCCTCATACCTCTGTTTATTATCTCTGTTTTGAATTTCTTTTTACTCTCTTCTCTTGCTTTGTGTGCTAAGTGTAGTGTGTCAACTGGAACTGCTGCACATCGGCGCAGACTTTTATGCTGAAACCAATCAGCCCGTCATTTTCAACACCAGCTCCATACCTGGTGACGTTTCAAAGTTGAGGTATGGTTGATTGATGTGTTCTAGAGTTTAGGTAACTAGATCACGGTCTTGAAACCCCATTTGTCTGCCGAGATTCGGAGAGTCACGTAGTGTTACCAGCATTACTCAAATTGTAGATGTAACTTATGGCCAAGCGCAAGTAGTTGTTCAATGACGTTTCAGTAATCTCGAAAAGGATATAGGGTAAATACACTTATACCATTGTAAACGATTTACGATTATGTTATCAAACTTTTCAAACCCTTGCTTCTTAAAACCTAGAGGACGCCGAAGAGACAATCTCTGTAACGACAGAAACCAAGAGAATTGGTAACGGGCCTGGGGCCGGCTAGAAAACTAGCAAGGGAGTGAAACTAGGCGAGGTTTATTTGATTTGTACCAGTCTGAAATTTTGTGGTACTTTCTGAACTACTCATAATATATTAAGTAGTATCAGTCGATTCAGTTGTACGAGATAATACATTTTTCCTTTAGATAAAATGTATCAATTTCTATAGGTTCCGTGCATTTTATCTTTCAAATACACGTAATTTATCTTCTACAAATCAGCTTACATTACTAGAACATGTTAGACCTGCTAGTTAGCATTATTTAAAACAGTATCATGTAATGAAAAAGCTGATCACTTTAGAAACTGTCACCAGTTCACTTATTTTGTGAGTTTGTCTGACTTGTATTCTTGTATGTAGATTGTCTCATAGTTAGGTTATCATAAGATTCTTTGTGTTATGGTGGATTATTGTTTATAACGCGTTTGTGTGATTACCAGCAAAAATTTCGACTTCCTAACCAATGATCTATCTGTCGTCCAACATATGTATTCTCACTTTGCAGTATCACTCCATCTCTGTCTCTTTTTTTATAAGCCTTAGAAATCGAACACATACATCTCTGCGTAAGAGTATGTGTTGACATGTCTTTGAGTAAATTCGCTTATTATCGTCTCGTATTCTGAACTCTTTGTGAAATTGTGTTTTCAGTACTTAAATGTATACATGAACACATATTAGAGTGCCACAGGCCTTTTTCAAAGGTTTTGTTTAGCGTGATTACATTCGTCTGCCTATCATTTTTCTCGCTGGTTTGTTGTCATTAGTGTATACAGTCCAAACTAAAAACAAACGTATTATTCATATAACTGTCTTAATTATGAAGGTAAATTGTCTACTTCTTAATTTGTAACAGAAATTTTATAGACACAATTGGCTAAGATTTTTTATAATGTGACTTATCTTAGATTTAAATATTTGTACTGACAAGTGTGACTCGTTTACAGCTATACGTTTGCTAAGGGACCAAAATCACTGGGCTTATTAAATGTGGTAAAGAAGTGTCTATAAGTTTCATAACTCTCATGGTAAGTGTACAGTTCCATGATGAAGGGCTTCAACAGTATATCTTGATTATTCTTGGTTCTACGCTACCACTTTCAACTGACTCCATGACTGTCCTCACAATTTCATTTCCTTTTGACATGATCTACTCCATGTCACATGGGAAACTCAACCCCCATAGTTTCTCATTCGCGTTCCACTTGAGGATATTGCGTATGATGTCAGTTAACGGTTTACATTGCACATGTCCAATTCATCTACATTTCCTTCTTCACATTTGTTGGGCAATTGACGTTTTAAACTTCAACTAATCATCGCCTTTTACTCTACTCATTTCAATATTTTGCACAAGAAAAAGTAGTCTACTACAGTTGCTTATTTATTTTGTCCTATTGAAGCAGTATTTATTAATAATTCTTCCTTATGATCTCTAAAATGTTATTTCTCTTTTCTAATGTAGACTGAACTTTCTCGTTCTGGTCGCAGACATCCTGGTGATACAGATGTAAATCTTAGAATGCCTTCACCTCCAAGAGCATCGAAACGGAAACAGGATCTGACTTCCACATCATGTAGGTGTTAATTTCATATGATCTTCATGCAAAGTAATAGTATAAATGAGTGGACTACTAACTTTGACCCTCAGCAGGTTGAATTTTGTTTGTAGATGCTCATGTATTGTTTTATCTATGACCACTCATATTTGAAAAAGGCTAATAGTGTTTATCCCAACAGATACAAGACACTAGCTCACCTTTAAACAGAATTTCGTTTTGGTCTATACCTCCTTGTGTACTACAAACGAATAGTCAATACCCTGTGCTTTTCCAACCGAACCAGAATTCAGTTGAGATAGCTCGTCAAAGGTGACTATGATTGCAGTTTGCATGAGATATATTTTGAGAACTGCAGTTGATGACGCTTTGAAACTTCCTACTGACATAATCCTCTATGTCTAACCTTATTATTATTATTTGCCGCATTGCTCCACCTTATGCAGAAAATATATCTCAGAAATATGCTGTCAAATACGGCTAATTAATATATATCATAGAGTTATTATTGGAAGATTAAAACACCTTTATGTTGCAACGTTCATTCAAAGTTTTTGCTCTTAGACAAACAGTTATTCTTTTAAAAGTTTAATGTATCTTATTCCCTTTGTATGTTGATAAAATTTCACTTATTTCTTTGATTTTATCCCCATATTTATTTAGATAATGATGCAGAAGTTACAGCAGTTGATTCAACCTCTGAGAGAAATTCTAATGCTGCCGTTATGGTGCCAAATAGTGGAGATGAATTGTCTTCTGTTGATGGAACACCTGTTAGTACTCCAACAAATACTCCTGTAAAAGCAGGGCCTTCCCATCCAAACACCCCTGTCACTCCAGGTACACCTGTTAGTACTCATACTGCTGCTACCACCGGGCACAGCAGTCCTCCCAATACAGATAGTAGTAGTCCACGTCGTCCTAAATCAGGTACTAATAATAAAGTCAGGTATGTACGATCCAATTTTCCATTTTTTATATTGTATATATTGGAAAAACGTGTTGTAGTTGCAATTGAACATCAGTCGTGTTGTAATGTCGTTGCCTATTTTTTGTTGTCAATTGAATAGTAATTACCGGTCTTTGTAACTGTTTTCGTCATGTTTTCATTTTGTCGTTGAATGTACCTTGGGATAATAAAGCTTTTTAAACTGATTTTATGTTCTGAAGCTTTTAGGAATATGCCTTATATAGTATTGTGATCCAAATAAAATGCATTCATGACTCGGTGCACTTATAAATATTTCTTACTCCTAATTGATAAAATTTTACGCCTTGCTGATGAGTGCCAACTAGCACGAAACCTAGGTCCAAGGCTTCCTGCCGATTGCCTCCAACCATCTAATACAAACAATTCACATTGCGTCGTAATGGCGAGCCACCTAGCATGGAGACCACATTGCAAGCTTGACTGATAGAATTCAGTCTGCAGCGAAGATATGACTAGACGCATCACACTAGTTACTGACTAGTGTGCAATCAAAAATTGTTCTATACTCTCCAGTCTTTGCGGTTATGTAGTCATAAGAATGGCAATTAGCTAGTTAACTTCTGAACAACCACTGGGACAATATTGCTAGGTTAACTACTCTATACAATACTGTCAAACTTGTTTTCAGTTGTCCTGTTGCATTATTCGCAGATTTGGTGAAATTCTTCAAGGATACTAAGTCTTTGTATCTGTTTCTCGCATATTTTTAATAGCTAGTCGATTCCTGCCATACTGTTTTGTATATTGATGGTACCTCATATCATTATTAAGAAACCAGCCAGCTTTGGCCACTAGTGTTTGTGTCGTGTCTCGTGTTAAATGCTATAATGTAGTCAGTAATATTAGGGTTAGGCATGGATGGAGTGTTAGGCAACGCGGATAAATTCAGTTAATGAGGTTGTGAAGTTACTTTTGTTAAGAAAGCTAGAACACGTCTTATTCATGCTAAGGCAACACACAACTCGACGAGCAATGTCAGTTGAAATAGAATTAGGTTTGGAAAGAGTTAGCGGTTATCAAATCAGCGCATTTCCTCAGTTCATTAAATCCTTGACTGCTTGCTTGTGCCACGTAGATAGATTTAAGTTGTCTAGTTGGAGTCCTTGGGCTGCTAAAGACCAATATCTTGAGACTATTGATGACATAGCTTAAAATCGTTCATCATAGGACAGACATTTTCACTTTTTGTAGTTTCACAGATGCATTTTTGGACTAAGAACAGTTGTATTCTGTTAACATCCATTGTTTACATTATGACTCTGAATGAGGTCAGAGAGATTTTCCGAGTCAGGACTATCATACCCTGGCCTTGTTTCTTGCATCATCAAAAGTAATATAAACTTATGTAGAGATCTTTCAGTACACCTGATGGAAGTACTTTTCTTTTCTGTTATTTCTCAACTGTCACTTTCTTTTGTATATTCCTTTGTGTACTTTTGGTGACCGACCCATCTTTTAACATAGAGTAATACTGTGCAGTTACAAATATGTGTTCCTTTACTACCTTTTGCTTTCACAGTGATATTTGACTTTTCTATGTCTATTTTCTTGTATTCATATTTCTAGGAGAGTGCTATTTTCTGCTGATGGATCTCCTTCATCTAAACGTCGTTTCGATTCACGAACTAATCCTCTTGGCGCTGCATGGGCTAAAGATTACCAAGAAGCTGAAAGTAATGTATATACGAAAGCTTTACTAGAACGTGTTAACACTAGAATGTAAGTGAATTATTTCAAACTGACACTATACAGTAGCTTTCACATATTGAAAATGATAATTTAGCCTTTTTCTAAATTGTTCATTGATTTCAAAGTAGATCTTAAAATTGCTGAATGGAAAACACTTTGTCTACTTATCAAAGCTTGATACATAACCAAGCAATGAAACAGTCTTTCTCCGCATTTGAAGTACTTAGTTGACTGAATCAGTTACTCAATTTCAAACGACTACAGCACCTCGTCTAACTTTCCTCCATCTTCAAAAAATGACACCGTTACATTTTGCGAGTTTAGATTGATTCAACTTGAGCATTTCATAAATAAACAAATAATTGAAAGCCCCTCTACCCCCAAAAGTGGTGAGTGAAAGTAATACGCTACTGTTATGACTGAATGGAACTGTCCCTTCACCAATTTGCTATAACTAAACTAAACTGAACTAAATAGACCCGTTACTACTTTGTTATGTCTGCGCCTGTTAATTACTATAATGGTAATGAACTCAACTGGTACGCTAATACGTCTATTTGTCCGTTATACCTTCCGATCCACTGAGCCACGCATATATCAAAAGACAAAAGCTGATCTGTGACTGTAAGCTATTGTATTGTACATCTGTTGGGAAACAAAACATGATATTTATATATTTAAGTTATGACAATACAGTTGGCTCACACCCGTGGGAATGGACTGATCTTATTGTCTGGTAATGGCTATTCTTATTGGTTGGCGATCCGACAAAGACCAAGGTGAGACAAAAGACGATGATCTGATCACACACTAAATGACAATATGCGTGGGAAATGATACAGTAACATAGTAACTTCATCACAAGATAAGTCACACGATTCGTAAGAAAGGATGATATACTATTTTATGCTGGGTCCTTTTAACTATAGAACTAATATGCACAGGTTTTAAAACTGTTGGGAAAAGAAATGAAATGTTAATCAATAATCACTTGTAACTGCATACAGGTAATGGTGAGCCACACCTACTCTGTCAGGCTGGTGGTAGAAAGGGATTTGACCACGTGACCCAGTGGCCGAAAGTCGAACGCCTAGAGCAATGAGCCACAGTTCCACAGATTTGTTACATGTGGATAGATGCATCCCTTTGTGAAATTCTATGTTGATTTGTTGCTTATCTTTTTACAGTGTTAGTTCACTCGTCACTAGTAGTCTGATGTCAAGTGCTTCAGTGCTTGTAGTTGACCTCTTTGTCTACGAAAATTGTCCTGTATAAGTGAAGTATATTGGACTTCTTTTATCTTTCAAGATGCTTGGGGGGTTCATATGCAACAGCTCATGTAGCAGTTTACAATTTCCACTTCCAAATGATTTTCCAATAATTGTGGAAAATCATAGTATTCTAATTTATTCTTTTGTCTATTTATTGGTTATTATCATTTTGTAGATGTAGCTCGTCGACTTAAGCACTTAGTTTCCAACCGATGAGCGGCGACGGGTTCGAGTCCCGCTCCTTCTAATTCAGCCTAAACTACTGGGTAATATTATCAGCTCTCACACGATAATTATAGCCCTAAGCGTGGTTCATGGAAAATCTGTCTCCTAGCTAAGTTGAACTTAAACAAAGATTTATTTTTTTAAAACTTAGATATTTACATTCACTAGAACTGATGTTCTTTCTACCTTTCCATTTATTATTTTTCTTATTACATCTAACTTCAGTTTGTTTGCTTTCTTTATAAATTGTCAATTATAGATCTGCTAACGCTGAACGAAACCATAAAATACCACCAACATGCTTAACTCGAAGTTCACTTTGTCGAGTTGTGCTTTTCGATCATAATGAAAAGGTTGGAAATTATTTCATCTTTCTGTGTAATAGTATTATTATTATTCTCAGTCTAACGTGTTTATATATTATTTCAAATTCTGTGAATTGTGACTGCTATCGTCCTGGATTTTTAATTCAAGTCTTCTGTGTATCTGTGTATGATATGAACTCCTGTTAACAGTTATTGTAAAGACCTGTGGCGGCTAATAAGTGAGCCTTGCAAATTGTGCATGCCTCTCACTATCTATATGTCGCAAACAGTTGAAGCGAAAAATGAATAGGGGAGATTGAAACGCTAATCCTAGTCTACTTTTTTGGAAATTTTTATGTCTCTGAACAGTTAGGGAGATGTCGTGGGGTAAATATTCCAAGCCCAGTTCAAATTAGTACATGAGAACCTCATGTATGGAGTCCGAAAAGATAATAACTCTGTCTACTTTTCGGGAGACTATTTCGATATGGAAATCTTTCTCATGGAATCCAGTAATCAAGAATCAACAAAACGAGCTTTTGCTAAATTGGAATACACTTAGTCGTATCTTAGTGTCCCACTTTGTTATGTAGGGCATTTGATCGGAAAAAGAACTAATATAGTGTAGATTATTCGTAAATCCAGTATAATTCCCACTATTTTGGGAGGCCATATTTAATTTTTACTGATGGTAGCAATCAATCTGAAGTGACCAGCTATACTTCTATGGGACATTTATTATCAAGCGTGGTGCTCATAGCTTCCTTCAAGATTGAAAGTGCCCAAACATCGCCTCAACTATATTTAGATGATGAACGTGGTAGGTTCATACCTTCTGGTTCAAGGAATTGAATTAAATAGTTTGTTGATTACTCTTTTGATCTCGAGATAATTCAGAATAAAAACTTCGGGTTTTCGAGAAATTAATCCCATAGTACAGCAACTGATCATTGAAATGACTGTGGTGGTAATATTGCCAAACATCTCCGTGCCGAACATCAATGCGGAACAAGAAAAGTGATTTGCTTTATCCTCCAATGAATGCAAGTGGTGGTCCTAACTCTTAACACTATTCACATTATGAAAACATTACCAATGCAACTGTATGTCATCGTGCATGCCTCTCGCCAGGTTTCTTACGAAAGAGACCGTCGGTAATGTAAGAGACGTAGCTGACGCGTAGACTACCCTGACCGGGATTCTGATTGAAAATCTCACAGTTACAATGGCCATAATACTCACCATCGACCCTTGGATCAGCAACTTCATGGAATATCAGAGAGTTCTACAAACGGTGACAGACACAGTAGAGTTGCACCTTAAATGGATTTTGTTGTGGCAAGAAAGTTGATTTGAAAGTGAAGTTACTTCTAGTCAAAGTGATGTGGACGATTGCACTGTCAATGATGGTTCTTAAAAAAAAGTAGTCAAACGTCCAGTAGATGCTATGCATTCAAGGGTAAATAAATCTGGAAATACTCGTCCTACTTCTGAGTTGTCTCCATAAAAACAGCCCACAAAAATCAGATCTCAGTCGATTGCTAATGTTCTGCTTAATACTGAGTCCATTCATTAGTAGTGGGAAATTATGTGCTGTTGTTAATGTTCCATCTGCTAAACGACAATCAGCATAAATATATCAGGATTACAAATAGTATATGATGTCTCATCATTCTTTCTAGTACTGAATACTGAATCATAAAATAATTTTCTGCTTTATTAATAGGTATGGTGTATGCCTTTTATCTTATTAATTTTTCACAGGGTTTAGAAGCATCGATTAGACTAGCACCGAATGAGGTTGTAACAGAGGTTCGTGGTCATTTCTTGCTATTAGAAGAATATGAACATTATGTGGATCCCGTGTCTTAGTAAGTACCCTATTTGAAAACATTTCATAGACCTTTGATTCCTCTCAATAAATGTGCTCTTGTTGTTTTTTTTAAAAGACTCAATCTTAATTTGAATAAGACACTTGGAAGATGAATTTCGCGAGATGATGTCATTTCGTAGTTTCTTTACAACCGCTTTATTTTCATCTTCAACAGATATTCACTGTCCAATTCCCGTAAATTGATTGCTTATTCGTTGTCTCAGTTTGTGTTTTTTTTAAGTTTCGTTAAACCAATGAATTGTTAATTTGAGTTGCATTGCTTTTGTTATTTAATGACAATTTTTCAATATTTTATAAGTACTTACATTGATATATCCTAACTGTTATTTCCCCTTCCTCTCTGTACACGCGCATAGTTATAACCGTTATGTTATGTTTTACCGTGGATTTGGTGATCGTGTAATTGTTGTTGATGCCAGTCTATATGGGAATAGTGCACGCTTTGTTCGACGTTCTTGCATTCCAAATTGTAGAGTAAGTTTTAACTTAAATAAACAAAAAAGTTGATGTACTGATGGTTATTTTGTCACATAATGCTGCATATTGTTTTTGATCATGTGAATTGTTTATCGCAGAAAATGTATCCTATTCCTTTTTTCCATGATTTGTCACTTTTTTGGTTTACTTCTACTTCTCCAATCATACACATTCACACACACACAAAAACCCATTAGTGGTAATGTACTCATGATGTCAGATTTGTAGTCATCTTCCTTTAAAATAGTTTTGCTAGTAGATTTGGCTTGCGTATATTTGGTTATATTATTATTATTATTTATTGTTCCCTTGGGTTCCTAGTGGAACATAGGGCTTCAACTACACGCCTCCACTTGCTTCTGTCTTCTGCTGTACTTTTCACTTGCATCCATGTTAGTTCATACTGTTTCATTTCCTCTTCACACGATCTCCATGTCACCCTTGGACGTCCCACTCGCCGCTTCCCTTTCGGGTTCCACTCGAGCGTTGGCCTGACGCGCGATGTCACCCAGCGGCCTACTCAGCGAGTGTCCAATCCATCTCCACTTTCTCCTGCATATTTGTTGGGCAATTGGTTCTTGTTTTGTTTGTTTCCGTAGTTTCTTGTTGGTGATTCTTTCCGGCCATCTGATCTTGAATATAGAACGAAGACAGCTGTTGATAAAGGTCTGCAACAGGCTGTTGGAAATATTCTTTGTGACCCGCACGTATATTTGGTAGATAAATCAAATCGTAAGTACTAGAGGGAATGTAAGTAGTTGATCTGTATTGCTCAGGGCGCTGCTACTTTTTTCAATTTTTCGCCAGTTAGTAAGTGCCAAACTTACCTACTATATCTTCAACATAATCAGAGTTGACCAGACCTTGCCCTGGTGGAAAGTTAATCTCCGAAAGGCTGATATAAGACAAATCTTGTGATATTAGTTCGGGTGAATTACCTTAAAATGCCTTAGAATGATATACTTTCTCCGCACTCACATTTCAATCACATATTGTCACAAAAATTCTCGATAAAAACAATCACCCTGAGTATTCCTTTTTACCTCTTGTTAGTCTGCCTCGCTGTAGATTTGAAATAATTTTCGTGAATTCGAGTGCAGTCGTGGGACCAATATCTACGTGGTATTCATGTTGAGGTTTGATATTGGGCTGTTGTAGTTCAACTGTTGACCAGTTAGTTGTACAGTTTCCTGAAGTGTTGTATCCAACTTTCGAGATGTCTGTTTTGAGAAGATTGTTTAACTTTCTTCTTCATATCTTCCTTATAATCTGTGCATTTAATTGGCTTGAGTAGTTGACGAGTAATCTTTAGTACTTATGTCCCTCTTTTGCTTATACTTTCTTACCCATCCCTTCTGTAGAGGCTTTCAGCATTATCTGTATGCATAAATTAAATTAATCTGAATAGCTGATTCAAATGTTATTTTTGTAGTTATCACTGGGAGATTCACTCTCTTTCTAATAAAATACAATGATGAAGCACCTACACGAATATGAAACTTGTTAGTTCTGCCTCGTTGTCATGCATATTCCACTTTTCCTCTCATTATGTGTCACTGTTTTGCTGTGATTATGAAAACTCTCACCACAATCTTAGCGACTAACATCGTTATCATAATTCCTCTACAAATTGCCTTCACTGTATCTTTAGACCTGCAGAAACATCTGTTTTGACCAGTAAAGCTATTCCAATCATTATCATATAGCATTGATAACTAAAAAGTCACTGAATGGGAAACTCAGGAAAACAGTTACAGTTCTGTGAACGATTGAATGTGTCATAGATCTGTATTTAACATCGGTGTTGTTCTCTTCACTATTTCTGAATCACTTGAATCATAACATTTGAAAGACACACACTTAAATATCTGAATAACAATGGAACTATGATAATGTTTATTCTATACAGTTTTAGTCTTTTAAATGTTACATAATTTGATACTAGTGCGTTTTTCTTAGTTTTCTCTTTTCTAGTTCTCCTAATTTCTGTCACTTAATTGGTTAAATGTTATACTGTATTATTTATTGTATATCGAAAAGAGAAGTTGTATCTTGCAGTAGTATTAATATTGACATTAATTCCTAATTATCGGTACTGATTCTTTGTTGTTACTGATTTTGTAGCTTGAACATTATATCGTGCAAAATAAACTTCAAATTGTAATTCGTACATCAGTTGAAATAATGCCTGGCACTGAATTGACTATACCGTTCGACTTGGACTACCGAGCTTGTCGTTATGCGGTGGATTGTGCATGTGCAAGATCTCGTTGTCCTGTCCTTAAGTGGCGGCGCAAGTTGCTTCGTAACAAGGTGGTGCCTAACTTAGATTATAATAAATATATTCAATCACAGCTCCGTGTGTAAGTTCTTATTATTTTTATTTTTTATTTTAACAAATAACAGTTTGGTGTATCAATATGTGTTTCACCATATTATACTTTTGCCTTCCTTTGTGCATTACCAATGTATATCTTCACTTATTAAACCATATCACTCAGATCAATAATTATCTTACACCATTAATGTGACCGGTAACGAACTCAATAGGCATCATAACTAAATATTGAACAGGACTATTCTCCCTCCATACCTTATGTTTCATGGAGTCACAAAAGTATGAGAAGGCAAAGTTTCACTTGTGATTGCAAGGACAACTTTATTAGACAAAAATACACCATACGTCTATACGTTTCCAAAACATTATATAGGCTAAGTCAGTAGGGATGAAATAAATCAATCTGATTGGTTTTGCATGAGGTTGAAGATTATTCAATCAAAATTAGTATTCTGCATAACAAAATAATTCTCAGTTTGAAACACCGGATCTCCTGCCTCTGTGTGTGCAGTCAGTGGATTAAAATGTGAAATTCCAATTTTATTCTCATTCTATTTAACTATGCATGCTTATTTCCACTTCGTGGTTCACTGGTAGGATGTTGCATTTTATCTCCTTTATTAAGTGGTATAATATAGTGGGTAATATTGAGGTTAGGCGTAGAATGTTATGTAAGGGAAAGTAGTCACTCTATGAGGTTGTGAAGCACGCCGCTTAAGATGTCGATGACACCTGCTACGCATGCAGAACCATCGTCTTCCTCGATGAGCAATATTAGCCGACATTAGTTTAGGCTGGAAAAAAGTCAAGAGTAGTTAGACGAAAACCCGGGATCAATTCATGAAGTCTTTTACAGTGAGGAGGTGTAAACTACCTGTTTTGGGGGCAGAAGATGCTAAGAATCAATGGTTGAAGACTGTTGGTAATATGGCTTAAAACCGTTCTCAGTGACGCAGATGAATTCATGTTTTGTTATCTCCCAGATCCACTAAGTCCTCGCGTCTTCCCTTGTTACCATTCTGTGTACCGTACATTTCTACTCACCATAGTCCTCTTGAATTTCTTTCTTTTCTTTACCTTTTATGTGGTACATGGAATGTGGCAACCTGAACTACTGCACTTATTTGCAAAATTCTATGTTGTAACTCAACCAGTCAAGCAAGTAGAATGCTTGTCCGAGGTCGATTCCCGGCCGACGCACTCCTAAACCTCACACACTTTACTGGTCGATAGTAAGCTGTGAGGCTTGCCAATCTATCGTGTAAAAATCGCCATTGCTACTGAAATTTTAAAAGCTTGAATTCTTATGTTGCACTCGAAAACCGATGTATGAAAAAGGTTTTCCACCTGGACCTTAAAGGTTTTAGATTAATTTATCAACTGTTATTTAAACTAGTTTTGTGTAGACAAAAATATCTTTGTTAGGACTGGTAAGCTTCCTTGTTTGCCTTGAAGTCATGGTTTATGCATGCACTGGCATGTCAATCTGAATGGACAGTTTTTGATTCGTTTATTCGTGGCTTAATCTCCTAAGAAATCTCAATGTCATACAACTAATCAGGTGTATTAATGGCTTAAATTCATTAGGTTCTGTAAATATGATATACACTATGTATTCTGTCTAGTAAACTTTGTTGCTGTTATCGTTTCTGTTGGTCGTCATTGTTTCTCCCAGTCAAATATTTTCAAGTGATCAGTTAGTTATAATGCCATATCTAGAGGCGCATTCCAACCAGGTTAGACGACCACACATTCACAGTTACACTCAACCGTAACAATCTCTGAGAGACAAATTTGAAAACTACCCCTGGTATTCAATAATTGTTTCTACACACCTCAATTTTTAACTAATCAATAAACTAATAACACAGTTTCAAAAATAAATAGAAAAACTAACAAGTAATTCATTTCGTGAATTCATATAATATTTTCCTGTATTCACTAAACATATCTTCAATTTGTCTTATTTATTTATTTATTTTTTTTCAATTTATATTATTGTAGACTTTCAAAAACTTTATCACCACACGAAAGTTCAACTCATCGACGATATGATTCAGGTGGTGGTTTATCAGCCTCCCCACTGGTAAAATCATCTACTTCAGCAAATAACCACACTATGTTCACTATAAAACCATCATCATCATCTGTCAATTTTCGTAAAGAAATTGAATTCTCCAAATATAACAATGATTTACATCAAACACAAAAATCTAAAAATCAAGATCAAATTCAGACAAGTGCAGAGAAAGCGAATGTTGTTGATCAAGAGAATGCTTCTTCTGACAATGTTAATCAACCTGAAACTTCTAAAGAGATAAATATAGATTTAGATGCTTCAGCAGATAAAAATACTACAATTACGGATGAAAATCAAATACCTGAAACTTCGAATTCAATGGACAACTTGACGGATACTAATAATTCTAAAACCTCTCCAACTAAATTAAAGGATTCATCAAATCGAAAGTCACAAAGTGTAAATGAAGAAAAACAGGTATAAGTTCATTTCCTGTCTATTATTATATTATACAACTTGTTCCAATAATGCTTGATTTTTTTTCTACGGGCTGATCATTTTCCGAACATATATTTTAAAATAGGGGAATCATGGTAACGAAATTTCAGTGAACAATTTAAATTTGGCCATCAGTCGACACCACTTAGAAAATCATTGGATATCCGTTTCACCGTAACTTGGAACCCCTTGGCAGTGTATATGCCTATGGCCATAACAAGGGTCGGACCCAAAACCTTCAGGTTAAGAGGTCAACCTATAGTTTCGTGTAAAGTTGTCATTATCTCTCATTTTTATTTCCACGCAATACACTGTTACTCTAAATTATACATTTGTTTCTTGGTTTACAATGTTCTTTTACAGTGTCTAAGTTCACTACATGTGGTTCCAAGACTTGATGTTTTAATAGGTATAGAGAAGCTTACGATTTTTCACGTTTCTAATATTGCTTTGTTGTGGTCTTACTAATATCCATAACCAGACAACCTGGCCCCGGATTCTTGAAAAAATGGTGATAAGGTTCTTGTCAAGGCACTGACTGGACTGTTCAGGAAAGTAGGGAAAAACGAGAATCCTCCATCATTGTGGAGTTAAGCGATCATCGTACCCATCTTTAAAAAGTCCCTGCATAATATGTGTACCAATCACAGGGGTATTAATTTGCCACCAGTTTCGTCTAGAATATTGGCTTCTGTCCTGCTTCTGAGTCTATGCAAAACACGTTAGGAACTGATTTGTGAGGAGCACTCTGGGTCTCGTTCAAGCCGTGGATGCATTGATCATGTGTTCGTTCTTCGTCAAGTAGTACAGCATCATCACACGTATCGTAGGCCAACAATCGTTGTGTTACTCGATATTAGGGTTACTTTCGATTCGTTTTACAAAACTTCTCTGGTAAACTGTCTTTTGGAGAAAGATGTCCGTCAGAAGTTTGTTAACATCCTGAAAGCCTTTATACACAAACATTTCAAGTAGAATAGGGGCATACAACCTGATATCCTCACAGTGGAGTTAGATAGGACTGTCTAGTCTTCCCATTCGTCTTTAACTTTGCCACTGATGATATTCTGGAGTCAGCCCTGACGGACGTGAGTTGGGATGGTGTAGATCTGACTCCTCGGCCTCGACTATGCAGGTGATGTCGTCTCACTGTGTGATAACATGCAGACTGCTCAAATTGTACCTAATCAGTTGGTGATCAGTGTCTCTAAGTATATACGAAATCTCTAATCGTATAATGGATGCTAGGATGGCATATGCCAATTCGGGCCTCCTCAGGTGCCGTCGTGACGTCAGCCTGGCTGTTGAAGGTCAAGTTTACAATACTTCGGTGAGCACAGTCTTGCTCTACTTTGTGAGACTTCTCCTGTCCGAGCTGAGTATGTGCGACGACTCTGCGTATTCTATCATCACTGCCTCCGTTGAATTTGTTTTGCCTTCGATGCTATTACTGTGTAAATAATTCTTGTGTCCGGCGGCGTGTATTTAAACACTTAGGAGGTCACCAATAATTGAGTATGTTCGTCTAGAAACTGGCTTCAAGTGGGTTCTGACATTTGCCACGAATGTTATTCCAGAGCCCCCTGTATCGGTCGCTGTTCTCTAGCCTTGGGACTGGATGGAGAAAGTGGAAAAATGGTGAGCACATGGAGTGACACCGTGTGATCAATGATATTTGTGTTAGATCAGCATCAGTTGGTACACCACAACCCCCTGGTTGGACTACAAGAGATAGTTCGAATTGTTGATGCGAAGCGTTATCACATATGGCCAGGAATCGCGACTTTGCTGCAATTTCTGTCCTCCTTTTTCTAATAGTAACACAAAATGATGAATGTTGAATTATCTTGACAAATATGCATACTTTCGGGACTACGTTTCTCATCCATTTTCTTCATATTTTCTTTATATATTCTTGTTTAATTATTTATGTGTTTCGCATCTCTCGGTAGCCGTACTGTACCAACTTTGAGTTTTAAATAAGTAAATATTCATGCCACAAGTTTTGGCTTATCAGCAAATAGAGCAATCATGGCAGTTTAATGGTACACGAAATTAACCAGAATTCAAATAAAGTGATTGTACTTCGAATTTGTGTTGATTCTACCTGTATTTATACTGCCCATTTTCATTATAAATGCGTTTGCGTATGTTGTAGAGATTAATAATAGACCAAGATAATTTGTTGTTTACTTAATGAGGTGGATAAATTTCATGAGTTAAAGTATATTTAACATGGTTATAACAGATTTTGTATTTCTCGATGAATAAAAAACAAAACGACATTGTTTTCACCGACATTTCTCTATTTAATGCCCATATGTGTATCAAAGTATTATTAAACCAGAATTTACAAAACATCTGCTTGTGCGTCGGTGGCATAGTGGTTAGGACTCTCGCCGAGCATGCACATGGTCGGAGGTTCGATCCGCTGCCGACGCACACCCTATATCAATGGTGGGCCTGCAAAATTTGGGCTACCGATATCCATGCTGAAAATTCCATGCTGGTACATATCCTCCTCATACAATCTCCTCCATGTCACCCTGGGACGACCCACTCGTCGCTTCCCATTTGGATTCCACTTGAGCAATAGCCTGCATTGCGCGCAATATCATTCGACGGCTTCCTCAATGCGTGCTCAATCCATCTCCATTTTCACTTTCATATTTGTTGAGCGATTGGTTCTTGGTTTGTTCTCAACCAGAGTTTCTTGTTACTAATTCTTTCTGGCCATTTGATCTTCAGTATGGAGCCAGCCAGTGAAGTGGGCATCTGTTGATAAAAGTCTGCAACCTGTCGGAAATCCTTTCGTGACACGCAGCACAAGTTTCTCACCCGTATAAAAGTACCGACTTCACATTTTTGTTGAGTACAGATATTTTAAAATGTCCGTTTTCCCTCCTCCTAACTAGACAGTCAAGAAATGGTAGTTGAAATAAGTTTGATTCTACTTCCGTAGTAAATTGGATGCTGAGAGGTAAACTGTTTAGTTTCTCCAAGAAAGAATTGTGTAGATCTCGTTTTAGCACAAGAAAGTATCATCTACGTATCTTAACCTTATTTTAGGCGTGAGTATGCTCGAGAAGATGTTATCTTCGAATCTGTTCATGAAAAGATCACCAACTATTTGGAAAAGTGGGGAAACCATAGCAGCACCATTCGTTTGTCCATATAAATCCCCTTTAAATGTAAAATAATTACTTTCCAGACAGAATTTCAAGCTCTTAATTATATAACTGGTGTCTAGTGGACATATTTGTTATAGGGAGAGAAAATTCCCAATTTTGGGTTTTAGTTCTTGAAGGAGTCTGTTTGTATTTAGTTTCATTTTGTTGAATTCGTCAGATTTCTCCTTTCAACGTTCTCACTAAAGTAAATTAAGCCTTTGACTGTTTGTTCAAACCGTGTGATTAAAGGCAGGTTGTCTGGCTAATATCTTCAAATTGTTCAGCATCATTGGTTGGTGAATTTCTGTGATGCATACCATTTAAAATCGTCAACAACAGTGAAAAGTTCATTCACTACTGATCATTCAATTATTCTCTCTCCTACACCCATATTCGTCCAATTAAAGTGTCAATACAAGTTGAAATGCTTAACTACTATGAAAAGTTATACCTTTATCTATCAGTTAATTAGCATACCATTTCTAGGTATAATAATCATGCTTCTATGTATCGATGGTATGCATGTCACTTTGCTATTTACTGCATGCTTAATATTTTCCTTAGCCTGTGTAATTACTGTCTGTATACTCTTATGTCTTTATTTCTTTGTTAGCCTTTTGAACCTATTATTACAACAAGAAAACAAGCTGCAGCTATTAAAAGTGGTATGCGATGAGATTACATGAACAGCTTTCGTTACATATTCAGATATAAACTTTTCTAATAGAACAGTGATTACCAAATAGATACATATACATAAAGGTGTTCAAGGATAGTGATAAACTTACTTTATTTTTGCCATTATTTTTGCTCTATATAGTCGGCTTATTATCATATAGTTGTCAAACAATGTTTATCTCCTTTAGTCTATTTAACACTTTAACATTTCTTTACAATTTTACATACCTTTGTTCTTCATTTTTCATTATACTATACCCTATTTAAGAGTGTTTAAATGTGACAAATAACCATGAGTGAATAATCACATACAGTTTATTTCTTTCTTTATCATAATATATTGTCATTAAATTTTATCACTATTATCTAACTAACTAATCATATAATTTGTAAGTGCTCTGTGGGTTTTTTTTCTCTTCTTGTTTCTAATAGTCTATTTTGATATACATTTGTATAATTCATCTATTGACACTTAGTTTAAAGCACTCTAGTAAGTTTTCATTCAGTATGGAATAGTATTTAAACAAAGATGTGTGAAGTTTTCATTGTGTTTCCTTCTACTTTTGCCTCTACATCATATGGAAGCATTAAGTTTCTGTTCGGTTGATAAGATCACAAAACAATCCGTTGTTGGGATCACTTAAGGTATGTTCAACTATGTTCTTGGTTCGTTATTCCTGTCAAATCCCCTCCATCTTGTCTCATTTTATTGTCTTCATTCTAAGCCAATATTTGTGATCCTAATATTATCAAAGTACTGCCTGTTAGTAACTGACTAACTTGTGTAATTTTATCGTTGAAAAGAACTTTAACCTATTGCGCTGCAAACTTGACAGATTTGGGATAAGAAAGAGAACGGTAGCCTTATTTGCTTACAAAAGTGTATGGTTGATTATTACATCTCGATCTCCAACACTGTGGAAGCTGATTTCTTTTTGGGGTTTGATTGCAAAGTCAGGGGATAAGTGCTTGAGGTCGGTCACACACACGTCTTGTCTAAGTTGGCTTTTGGAAATCTAACTTATAAAATTGTTACCACTGCAAGATAAATCAAGGTGTACAGTTTTTGAGCTCAGCCGTTTTTAACACCGGCACGGAAAAGCAGCATATCCAGGTTCTCATCACATAATCAATAAGAAAGTAAATATATCTGTTAAAATGTACTGTGTGCATAAAGTCTCTCTAATATTTTATCATATACACTGCTACTAGCAAAGATGCAACAGAGAAACTTTTAATCATATTATCGCAGCAGTCACATTCGAAAGCAACGACGTAATATGCAGTGGAATATAGTCATGTGAACTCCCAATTTTCAAACTTAACACTCCTTGAAATTCCTAGACAGCGTTTCATTTACAGGTGTCCCTCCGTTATTTATTTCTCATATTTAATTGGAACGACTGTCGTCAATGTTTGCGCCGTATGATGCCATGTCTCGCCGCAAGCATGCCATCAAATGGATTGAACATGTTTTCAAATATTTTAATCCGTGTATCCTTCTGTTTTTTTTTCTTCAAAAGACAGTGTCTTGTTGCATTCTCCAGTATGATGGCGTAACCTGTTTGGAAAGTTTGCATTTCGCTGTTTAAATCAATTTATTGGCTGATGGCTTGCGGCCAGGCATCTACGCCATTTGGCACGCCGTCTTTCCTGCATGATCCCTAGGGAGTTAAGCAATCATCTCGCACTACGATTCCGTCTCAAAATATAATTCGTGACCTGCACGATCAATTCAGGTGTTTTGTTTTGACTTTGGTCTATGCGGAACGAATACTATAGAAGTTCTGGGTATTAGATCTTGCGTTAGAATATATTGTACAACCCATGAACGTCAACACCCTCAGCCTCTGAAATACCAAGGTTTTGAGAGGTCTGGTGAAATGCATTGATTCCAGGATCATCCTGGCCTTCAAAGTTGGCTGCACCGGAAGTCTGAGAAATTTTCTTGACATCGATTAATCCAACAAAATATTCACCAATATGTTATGATGTGGCCACTTTTGTATTTGCAGTGCTTTGAGCTTATGCAGAAAAATGACAACGTGATGACCACTCAGTCGCTGTGGCACTCCATCATCGTACACAATATGTAGCTGTTTCCCCACTCTACCCCACTTAGGCGAGAACAAAATGACGTCAGATGGAAAGTATATTTCGATAGCAATATTCATATCAGAATGTTTAAAAAAGGAAACAATGATATATATATATATATATATATATATAATAACTTAGGCACGAGATGTCTATAAAAGGATAGTCAATTATTTATCGGTCTATAAATCGGAGGCTAACAAAGAAGCTGAAGATTCACCACGACTCTAGTTCAGCACATAAGCTGGTGGACGAAGCCACATTTATTGATATTATTAGGGAAAAGTCGGAGAGTTCAAACAAAATCTCCGAGGTAACTGGTGTGGCGATCTACAAGAACATTTGCGCGAACTTCTGAAAAAGAAGAAGAGGCAGGGCGATGAAAGGCTCTACATGAACACTTAGAAGCAGGGAAAAGAAGGATGGTTAAACATAAGATAAAGCAGTTCAGGAATGAATAATTTAAGAGGCAGCTGAATTCAGTATACAGGTCTTTCAGCAAAATATTTAACAAGGTTGTTACGAAAGACACTTTCATATCGCTCTTGCCACTGAAGCAGAATAGATTGCAGGTAGAAGCAGTCTCAGAACACTACATCCAATAACTAGGTCGCTCTCTTGAAAGAAATAGGCCAACGGGCCCCAGCTGGTAGACGCGCCACTACTACAGAAGGTTTAGAAGGAAGAGTGATCGCTCTGTCAAAACCGCAAAATAAGAGTGAATTGAGCCTCTGAAAAACTTTAGCAAAATCATGCTCTAGCTCACCTCAAGTGACATATCAGGTGCCATTATCTCGGAGAGAGTGAAGGGCTATCTGAATTAAAAACTCCTTCAAGGAAAAGCTGGATGCAAGGAAACATATCATATTCGGATCAAACTACAACTACGCATCATCACTGAACGGAGTACAATATGCAAATAAAGTGTTTACATCGACCTTATCAATTTTCGAATAACCTTCAATAAGATTGAGACTTGAAGTAGTCTGGCAGCTACTTCAACACCATGCAATGCATTCAACGTTTACAAACCCCATTATACAGCCATATTACGACCCTATTTGCCAAGTAGTTCACAAGAAAGACTCGGTGAATATCTCGAAATTAAAAGAGGTGTAAGACAAGACAGTCTATTATCACTCTTGTTCTTCCTGACTGTTGTGGACTGCATCATGACTAATCCTGAGAAGATGAGAATATGTTGGACTGATAAAAAAACAGTAAATATCCGGACTTAATGGGCGACTTGTCTGGTGTCATACGAAATCAAAGCTTTTTGTGCGAAAACCAAGAAGTCAGCAGAACAGGCAGCGAAGACAGTACAGTTTACAATTTATTTAGGATAGTAGGCTATATGCCTGTGTTAATCCTTTCGATTTGTTACACACAGGAGGTCCAATCTCGCCTTGAATGAATCAATGGATGGCGCTGATACGACGTGTTCCGGTAGTGAGTTCCGATGGTTCACAATCTGATGCGAAAAACGGATCTCCAAACGCAGACGATTCGACCGTGGTTTTTGAACCTTGAGGTGATGTCCTCGCAATTGGTTGGTGCTAGAAGGAAGAAATAAATTAGGTAAATTTGCTCCAAAATCATTTCTTAGGATACGGTATGCTAGTATTAGGTCACCCCTAAGTCGTCTGTATGACAGTGGAAATAAACCCAGTCGACTTAACCTCTCTTCCTATGAGAGGGTTGAGAAACCCTTTATTAGCTTAGTTCCTACTCTTTGCACCCTTTCTAATAAGTCTATTTCGTATTTGAAACACGGGCTCGCTGCCTGGATCCCATATTCCAAATGAGGTCTGATATAAGTCGGATATAATATACGAAATATTTCAGCGTCAAAATTCGCAAAAGCCTTGCATATGGCCCATAAAATTCGAAAACCCTTAGTGGCTGCAGCTCTACAGTTTGTTGCTGTTTTCAAGTCATGCTGCACAACCACTCCCAAGTCCTTCTACTCAGTGACCACTGGGAGAGTAATGCCATTCATTGAGTAATTGTGCACGTGACTATGAGATACATGCATAATTACACTCTTGCTTAAGTTAATCTCCAAGGCCCAGTGCTTACTCCAATCACTTAGCAAGTTTAAATCTTCCTGCAAAGCAAATTGATCACTGTCATCGTGTAAAGCCCTCCATATCTTGATGTCATCAGCAAACAGTAAGCAGGATGATCTAACTACCGATGGAATCTCATTAACATAAATCAGGAAAAGAAGTGGACCTAGAATTGTACCCTGAGGAACGCCACTCTTAACCGATTCCCATGTTGATAAAACCCCGTTAACTCGTACTCTTTGTCTTCTGTCCTTTAGAAAGTTTTGAATCCAGTCGGCAACCACTTTATTGATTCCCATACTACCTAACTTTACTAGAAGACCTGAATGAGAAACCCTGTCAAACGCCTTGCTAAGGTCGATGAATATGGCATCCACCGGTATATTAGCATCAGCTGAGCTTGCCCAACTTTCTCTGGCCAAAAGAAGGTTGGTCAAGCAAGAATGACCTGCTCTAAAACCATGCTGTTCCCCAGCGAAAAGTTTGTTCCCTTCAATGAACTGAATGATAACATCACGAATTACTCTTTCTAGTAGTTTAACAACAATACTGGTCAAACTAACAGGACGATAGTTATGAACTAAGTTTCTAGATCCGGCTTTGAAGACCGGACTAATGATGGCATCTTTCCAGTCTCTTGGACATTTAGACTGGTCCAGAGACATATTGAAGATTACCGACAATGGCTCGGCAATGTTTTCAGCCAATGCTGTTAATATACGTGGGTGGAGTTCATCAGGGCCATTGGACTTACCAGGATTGAGCTTTAGAAGCCACTTTAGGACAGTATCTTTTCCAATGTATAAGGGTGCCATTTTCAAGTTACCTTCTGGAAAAGTTACAAAGCTGGTATCAATATTATCAGAGAATACTTGACTAAAGTGCTTGGACAAAGCCTCAGCCATGTTTGTCTGGTCATCTTCAAGCATAAGAGATGGGATAGCATCACTCTTACGTGTTCTTCTCTTGATATATGAGAAGAGTCTTTTTGGGCAGCCTGGTGAACTTTTAACTAACTGGGTTTCGTAAGCTGTCCTTGACTGGTGAATCAAAGTTTTACACTGGTTTCTGGTTTCACAGTATTTCAGCCGGAACTGCTGTAGCCCAGTAGAAACAAAGAGATTCCAGAACCTTTTTCTCCGTCTTAGGAGTGTTATAGCTTGTCTATTTATCCATGGTGGCCGGTTTGTTGGTCTTTTAGGAACCCTCCAGGGAATGAAATCAGTGGTAACACTTTCACTGAATATGCAAAGCCAATTCAAGTGCCCATGAGACATTAGACAGAAATGTAGAGCTTCTCTATTCCACTTAATTAAGAAGCATAGGTACGAATTTATGACAAAGCCAGCCAGGTTTTTGAAAGCTGGTCGCCTTCGCTCCGCGCTGAATATCAGGTGGCCCAAACACGTCAGCACCAAAAAAAGCTGCCACACAATGAAACATAAATGAAGGTACAACCCAAAAATATGTAATTGGGTTGAACATACTCTGAGGAGGCCAGTGAATGGTGTTACACGTCAGGAATTTGAGTGGCATCTGAACTGGAAAAGACAACTTTGGTGTCCAGGAGCGACATGGGGTAAAGTATGAGAACAGGAACTGAAAGGCTATATGAGGTCGTCAAGACAGCTGGAGAAGACAACAGATATTGACGTGGAACAGAAAGACAGTACTGATTCTCTACATGTCAACCGAAATGCATGGGACAAATCTTGATAACAACAGTATAACAATAACTGGCGGTTATATGGCATATCCCCTATTTGAAGTGCCACCACCTGCTTCACCTTGTCGGCAATTGCGCGGTCTAGTCTTTTTGAATTTGGGCGAGAACACAAGAAGGTGACTCTAAACTTTAGGAACCCAAGACAACCTTGATAACGGATGACCTTGATGAATGACCTTGAACAGGCAATCATCTGACTCGCAATGGATGCTGTACATCGTTTGCGAAGCAAATTCGCTCCAGAGTTTGTTTTCGATTACTGTTTATAGAACGGGCTGATAGCGAGATCGAAAAGTTGCCAGTGCGGAGGTGTTATGCATATACAAAGATACACGAAATGCATCGACGGTTATGTTTACCGTTGCAGGGAGTGCAGATGCAGAAAATCCATTATCCAAGCCCATTATCCAACGTTTAGTGCTACCGGGAACAACAATACATACGGATGAGTGGAGTAGATACAGCCAATTATCAAATCTCGGCTATATTCATGAGGTTGTCAACCATACAACCGGATTTATAAATCCTTTCAATGGAACTCATACTAATTCCATTGAAAGTTTCTGGAGTCATCTCAAAAAACGGATAAGATCGGTGAACGGATCAAGAAATCCAATGATTTACAGTTATCTCGACGAGTTTATGTATAGGACTTGGTTTAACATGACTTTAAAGACTCCTATGTCTAATTGGGACTTCTTTTGAACATATACCAGAACGCTATCCTTTGTAACTATTTTTTAACATTGCTTTACTTGTATATAAACGATTTATTAAAATTATGCGCCGTTCATTTTAAGCCTTCTGATTGGCTGAAACTGTCCTTGTTAAGGTCATTTGTCTGTTCGTTCGTTTGGATTCCTAAAGTTTAGAGTCACCCACAAGAATATTAGGGCAGAAATTAAACATCACGTACAAGATCACTGGCAAAGTTCTACAATAGAGTCCCAAGGAACGAACGCACAAGTGACCTTGAGCCGACCAATCAGAAAAAATGAGGATTTTTGCATAAAATTTTACGTATATTTACATAAAAACATTAAACAGGATATTTTTGTCTAATATGAGATCAAAAATTTCCCAATTACGATGAGGGGTTTCAGTTTTAAATTAAACCAATTTCGATACATATATTCATCTAGATGACTGAAAATAACTTCGTTTTGTGATCCGTTGATAGCTCGGATTCTATTTTTCAGTCTTCCCCAGAAACCTTCGATGGAATTATTATGAGTACCGGTGACAGGGTCGACGAAATCATCCGAAAGGTTCACTCGATGATGTATATATCCCAGTTGCGATAATCGGTTGTATCCTGCCCATTCATCTGTGTGAATGGTGGTGCCTGGTAAGACGAGCCGCTGAATAATAGGGAGGAGTGTATCAGCACTCCTCTCTGATATCAGCACGATAAATCCTTGCGAATCTGGGTGTCATAAATTCCCAGAACCCAAACGTTATTTGCTCTAGCACGCCCGCGATTGTACTCATTTATAAGGACAGTTTCATCGATATGGACGACTACACCAACACCTGAGTAATACTATTCATTTTCCAAGAGGCTAAATCTCGACAAAATTGGAACCACTACACAGTAGACGTCAAAGTATTATCTGTTTGAGCCGCAGTCGATCGCACCCCGGACTATAAAACCCAGTAATGGGACAGAAACAGGATCTTGGTCAAAGACAGTTTCGACTTTTCAAAGAAAGTTCCTAGAAGACAATTAATTCAGTGTCCCTTACCAGTACGCATACTTATTCGCTTCCTATACTGTGTAGGCAAAGTTAAACTTTAGACACCAATAACAACCAATCAGCAAACGACCTTGAACGGACCAATCACATGAAAGAGGCGTTTATGGTAAGCGGTAATGTATATTTATAGAAAAATGCATGAAAAATATGATAAAACAATTACAAACAGGTATCTGTCACGAGCATAGGACAGAAACATTTCCCAATTCAGCATCGGACTGTCAATAGAAAAGTCGCACCACATTCTGTACATATATTCATCTAAATGACTATAAATGAGATCCTTTTGGGATCCATTTATAGACTTATCCGATTTTTCAACCGGCCCCAAAGTCCTTCAATAGAATTTGTATGAGTTCCGGTAACTGGATCCACAAAATCGTTTGAACGGTTCACTCGGTGATGACTATATCCCAAGGATGAAAGCGAATTATAACCTTTCCACTCTTCCGTGTGTATTATTGAACCCCGTTTGACAAGTCTCGTTATAATAGGTATTAACGTAGTCGCCTTTCTATCTCCTATTCTTTCAAGGAATCCCTTTCGGAGGGAAGTATCGTATAAACCTATCACCTAGATATTATTCGCTCGCTGGCGACCACGATTGTATTTCTTCTTCAGCAACACAGTCACATCCACGTGCACTACAACGCCGTCCCCGCTCAACAAGGAAGTAATCTTCTCCATTTTCCAGGATGCAATATCTCTCCAATGCTGGTACCATTGGACTGTTGAGACGAGGCTGTTCTCCGTCTCGGCAGCTGCAGCTCTCACTGGCTGTTTTAATACTCAGTAGTTGCAGATATATAAAATTTGGTCAAGGAGAGGTGTGACCTTGCAAAAAGTTCCTACGAAATATTAAAATTATCAACTTACCTTCTCTAATGCTAACACGCTTGGAGCATATAGCACAACGATGGACAAATCCATCAATTGACCTACTATAGCTTTTTAAGGTCATGATACCCTCACACGAACAAGTTCGCTCCTTCCGGAGCAACCCTAAATCCAGACAATACTGGAAAACAGTGTCCTCCTCGAATTGCAAACGTAACCTTGTAAGGGCACGCATTTGAAATGAATCAAGAGCTATACAACATTGAACTACGTTCGTGAATCTCATTGGATAAATCGACATCGTTCGCTGATTGGTAGTTACTGGTGTCTAAAGTTTAACTTGGCCCATATCCGAGTACGTCCTATCAATCCATTACCTAAGCAGTACTGGAAAAGGTGATCTGGATGGAATTTGCATCTGAGCTCATGAACAGCGTTCATTTTCGCGCTAGAATAATGGTAAGTTTCTTCAACCAACGACTGGCAAGCGTTCAAGGTCATTTGAGCGTTCGCACTCCTGGGACTCTATTCTTGTACTTCACAATGTTAGAAAAGTTTAATGTTACATTTATATTCGTCAAAGTTGCTTGCAAACCACGCATAACGCAGCTACACAAAACAGCACCTACCTAGGACAAGTCGAAAATCCAATTGACCGCCACTGTTCTAGCCAATTGAAAAACGTGAAAACCTAAGGCGCGGAAAATTTAACACATTTATCCTGTTGATGGGATTTTGAGTGCTTATTTAGCTCTTGTTGGATGGATTTATACTCAAATTGCTGTTTGATATTGTTCTTAAGTATTGGCATATTGTTATCTAAATGATAATATTATTGCTTAATGACTGTCAATGAATTCTATTATCATTCCTATTGTCATTTTTATTTATTCATAGTCCAACTCACGAATAACTACTCCAATAAAGTCATCTGCAATCTGTGAAAATCTCTCAAGAGATGATTCAAATGGTGTTGAACCTCTTTCACCAGATAAACGTCATTCTGGTTTTCAGAATACTAAGACACTGTCACTTTCGTCACAATCGCCTAATGGACGGAATATAAATGTTGATGAAGACGAGGATCCAGATGGTCCAGAATTCGATGTAATGGCCGAATTGGATGAAGTTAATTTGGAGGACTTTTTCTATGAACTGAGAGATGATCGTGCTGTACGTGTATCGAAGGTGGAAACGAAAGTCAGTAACATTTATTTTAGTTTTATTCATTTAATCATTTTTAACAACATATGTTATGTTGGCTAATTAATTACCACCTACTTCCATTTTCCTGTTCCTTTCGACTTTCGCTAAATTCACAATGTGGCGCAGCTGTTATCCAAAGTTATTGGTAATTAGTTGTTTGCACAGTTAAGCTGACATACGTTAAAACTTCGAGATAGTATTCCATTCAGATTATCTTCCCTATTTCATAAGTCTTATTGTGCTGAAATGATTGGTTTTTACTGCTCAGTTAAGAACGACGTCTGAGGCAATTTCGTTTTCCTATTTATTGTATCACTTGCGTTTCAGCACACCATCGTATGACGTCAATTTTATGACTTTTTGTGTAATTTTTTATTGAACACCCACCAATCTTTAATATTCACATTTGTTTTTTAAAATGTTCTATATTTGTTCATTTCGTCTTTGTGTTCTGCTTTTAAAATATGCCGAATTGAAGTGATGTACGTGAATAACAATTCCTGCGTTGGTCTGTTTACCACTTGTTTCTTTGTTGATGAATTGCTTGAATTATATATAACATTTTTTGAACTCCATAGAAATCACTCAGAAGCATAACTTTTACACACTTCTGTTAGTGGACTTAGGACTAAAGTAGTTACACAGGGTGGCATTCAACAACTAATTAACCTAATTCATTTTTAGAAGCACCTAGCCATCACCTGAATAGTTTACCGATAGAGTCTGATTCCAACAGTGAAAGATGGATACTTGAATCCTAGAGGGGATATGGATTTCTCTAAGGGCGCAGAAGTACCATTCTGATAGGCATCAAGCTTATTTCAAGCACAGTTTCCTATTGATGTTTGGTCCTTCCGAATATTGCATATAGAATTAAAATGCGTCGCAGTAATGTTTCACTTAGTTTAATGACCACATTCTACACCTGGTAGAGGGATTTTGATCAACATACGTAGGACTACACATATGCATTGGTTAGCAGCAGGTGACCTGTTATGATGGCTCTGCTCTCTGTCGATGGTCCCATGAAAACTATTTTTTAAAATCCCATTATAAAACAACTTTTCATTTCATCTTCGGTCATGACTGTTAGTTTACAAATCAATGGACAAATTAGGCGGTCTTATCAGTAATTGTGAGCTTGACAGACACTATAGCATTCTGTAGAAATTGTTTTGTACAAGTTGAAAGGTTTATACTACAGGTAGCAAGAAAGCCCAGGCAAAATTGAGTTGGAAGTTCACATTGACTTTCTTCTGATTAGTTAACTAAAATGTATCATATCACTATATCACTTTTATTTGATGTCCGTATTTGATCGTGCTTGCTTTTTAAGCATAGATATCGTGATTGCGAAGGCATCAATAACAAATAAATCTGATAACGCTTTAAAGTATGATTGCAATATTGTTTCAAGTCTTTCTGTCATTAGGTACATAAAAGTCATTGATTTATTCTAATACTAATTGGCAGATGAAACCAGCAGATATGCCAAAGTAGCCAAATGTTTTTGAAGTGTAATTTATCCAATAGATTATACTTCATTTAGATACTTTTGTTCCTTCTTAGAATCTACACGCAGATTTACGGGCACTGTTTAACTCTGGAGAGGAACGGGAAAATTGTACTTATAAATCAAGGAGACCGTCAGTTCTAGCAATGAATGCTTATCGCCAACGGCTATTCCAAATGAATCGTACCACACCAAATCAAAAGTTTAGTCAAACAGAGAAATTTGACATGACTCATTACTTTCAATCCTCCATGCCTTGTACAACTTCATCGGCGAACGTGAATAAATCTGTTGTTTCAATCCCACGACGCAAAAGAATCGCGTTAGTTTTGCTTATTACTCATTTTTGATTGTCAGTGTATTTTTACTTATTGTCAGTATGTGTGGGAATTCGAATTATTTAGTTATAAGTCCGAACTATTTTCCAACAAGCAATATTTGTCGTAGCAGTTAAAAATATTAATCACCATATAATAGACGTGTCTAGGCTTACATATCATTACCGAACCGCTTCAGCTGTCTTAAGATAAACACTACTTGTAAACTACGTTCTCCACCAACCAGCGAGCTATATAAATTGTTAGTAATTCTAGATGTCTTTTTCTCTGCAGTGACTAACGTGTATTGTTGTCCAGTGATGCCCCAGTTGGATTTTAGCAACAACAACAACGTGACTTCTTGTAGGTTGTATTCAACCACAATTTCACGGAAATGTATTTGATATGACACGCTGTGATACAATATGGAAAACTGGATGACGTTTCAAGCACAATTTATTGCTCATAATCCTATTAATGCATTCACACAGCTTCATGATTCAAGACACATATAAATGTATATTTCTCTTTCCCTTGTTATTCATTGAAATTTCCCATATATCCATAAGCACACAAAGCCCCTGATCATCATCTATCTTTGCCCCTGTCGCCGCCATCATCTCACTTCCCCAATACTCTCAGTACTATTTTGCAGGCTAGCCAGTCATCGTCATCCTATTTTGTGACCACAAATATCGATGAGAGCTATAGAAACAGCCCCGATGGCCTCTTGAAGGAACGCCGCCAACTTCTTCTTGGAGCATTTAACGTCACGACCCTCTGCCAAATCGGACAACAGACATCACTCGCGAGATCTCTGATATCTCAAGCCATGGATGCATGTTGTGCTTCGGAGACACGCACACAAGACCCGAGTGTAGTTATTGACTTAGCCCCACTCAATCAACAAGGTGAATTTGCGAAATTCACCTTAACGGTATCACGAAACTCCTCAGCTAGTTCGAGGCGACTCGCAGGTGTGGGAATGGCATTGAGTGTAGTGGCAGGGAAACCACAGATTAACTGGATCCCAGTACAAAGTCGATTCCGTACAGTCCGTGTGAATCGGTCCATCAGAAGAAGCAAGGACAGCTCCACTCGTCGTTTCATTTTCATGGTCTCCGCTTACGCCCCAACTGACTGAAGTTTGGATAAACTAAATGATTATTTCTATCTGAAACTGTCTAGTTTCCTGCAAAAAGCAAAACGCTTAGATATAGTTGTTTAAGCAGGCGACTTCAATATCCTAATAGGGAAGTTATGCCAGATTGAGAAGTATATAGGTGGTACGCATGGAGTTCCCTGCTGACGAACCGACAACGGTGATCGTCTTCTAGAGTTCTGTTCAGAAAATCGTCTGTTCCTAGTGAGTACTAACTTAAGACACAAAGAGAGACATTGCCTAACCTGGCGACCTCGATCTCCAGATCAATGTTGTACTCAAATAGACCACATATCGATAGGCTATCGTTGGCGAGGATTAGTAGAAGACTGCCGCTTCTTCTAGAAGACGTGCGTATACTCCGACCACGCCCTGGTTCGCTCACGTTTATGCTTACGATTAAATGGGCATAAAACACTGTTGGCAGAGAGGCAATAACATCCTTTAACTAGATGAAGACACTGAGTCTCTATTTAAGGTAGAAATAGCTAAACACGTATCGGAGATGGACAGCAAGACTCCTCATGAAGAAGCCTGGCTCAATGTACGGTTAACTGTAGACACAGCTGTGAAGGCTGTTGTTAATAACCTGAAACCAAAAGTTAGTAAGAGCCAGTGGATTTCTACCACCTCATCCGAACTGATTAAGGCAAGAAGACTGATTCCAGCGAGCTCCGAATATGATGAGGAGCGAAAGCTTCTCAAAGGTGACCGTGGACAGTAGTGGGCGAGAAAAGCGAAAGAGATGGAAAAGGCATCGGTAATAGGTAACACCAGACACTATTTATATTTATCAGGGAAGCAGTTGGCAAAAGGCAAATGATAAGTGAAACAACCCCCGAGGAAAATGGCACCTTAATTGGCCCTCAGGATAGACGACTGGAACGTTGGAAAGAACACTTCGAGGAGTGACTTAACTGGCCTACAGCCACACTCAAGTTACCGAGCATCCAACACCTCCCTGAATGAACGAGATATAAACACCGGTCCTCCGTATCCAACCCTAACTGAGGTTACGAAAGCTGCCACTAGTCTGAAACGAGGCAGAGCTGGTGGAATGACTCCATTGGTGTTTAAGGACTCTGGAGACAGTTTACTGGTGTGTTAACTAAGGTGTTAGGCAGCGTCTGGGAATCAGAGGACGTCCCGTTGGGCTGGTGCAAGTCATTGATTATCTTTACATGCAAGAAGGGAGACAAGTCTTCGTATGATGATCACAGAGGGTTTGGCTTGACTAATACTGTATCTAAAGTTCTAGGCTGAGTGATCATGCGTAGACTAAGTGGTGCTCGAGAGGAACAAAGACGCGAGAACCAGTCAGGCTTTAGAGCAGGAAGGGGGTGTATTGATCATGTCTTCACCCTTCGACAGTTTTTGGAACGCAGGTTGCATACTTACCGGTGTCCAACAATCGTCATATTTCTTGACGTGAAAGCGACACTCGATTCCGTCGACCGAGAGGTACAATGGCGATGTTTGGCTGTGAAGGGAATGCCGGGAGAATACAGGGCACTTAATCTATTCGAACTCGTGCAGCCAGCCAGATGGAGGACAACGGAGAGTTGTCAGTGGTATCTGTCATGGATGCCCATTGTCTGTTTGATTTCATCATAAATGTACTACTAATGAACTTATCCCTAACTGACTTCAGAGACTGACTTGTTATCAGAGAATAGTAGTCACGTTGACTGATAATATGCAGATGATATGGTCCACCCTGCTAGGTGAAGACGCTGAGAGAATGCAGAGTCTTCTGAACACCTTGAGGAGTAGCAATCTTCGAATATTTGGCATGCGATTCGCTCCTGTCAAATGTAAGATGATGCCACAAGACTGGACTGGACTGGACTACGTTGACTCCTAGCTTAAAGATAGGTGTTGGAGTGGTGGGGAGGTTGAATCAGCTAGCCCCACCAGCGGGTTGATTGCTGACGAAATCTCAGCACGCATACAAAGGACTCGTTTGGAATTTTATAGCCAACTTAGGCCATCTTTGGTTCAGTAGACGTGATATCTGACTGGTTTAATGCCTTTTTTAATTCGTTTGACTTCTCCTAAATCGGTGTCTTGCTTCGGTCTGTTTAAACTTGTTTTTGGACTACATAGACAACATATATGTTGGCTGGTAGCTTACCAGAAACATTCCTTATAATGTTTCATAAATAGTCTGTACTAAATACTTCGTTAAATAATATCAAGTAGAAAATAGAGTTCATATATCACTTCAACTAACTGAAAAAGGTTCCACCAGTTTTAATGAATTTATGGTCAACAAAATGTCTTTATGCGTGTACCATGTTCAGGTAACACTCAACAATGTAGATTCAGTTTGTAAATAATCGAATCCCACTGCATCTCTTGATGAGACATTTATCAAGTCGGTTGTCGTAATAGAATGAGTGTATGCATTATGTGTAGAATGAAAACTGAAAGTCGGCGAAAGGCCATTGAATGACAGACATTTGGGTGTGAATTATTAACATACCGTTAAATAAAGTATCTGAATTATTTTCCATTTGCAAAATTCATTCTACATTTGAGAGGAAGATATCGAAATCAGCTGCAATCGGATTCACACTAATGACTTTCGTACAAATGTAGTTTATTTTATTGTATACTAAGTAAAACTGGTTAAACATATCTCCTTCCTATCTGGTGAATATTGTTTGATATTGATTCAGCTGTCTATGCTATTTCTAAGTCCATAAATTGTATGTTACGAAACTGTGCTTAAAATTATTTATTAGGATGACAAGCTAATTTACCACTTAAATCGATCTGTTTCTATGTCATCATAAATTCATGTTATGTCCATTGTTGTTTCAGATTAACAAATACAGAACTAGTTCGATTAGAACGCCAATTGGGAATGCACATACAGTTGTTGACTACAAGTTTCCTGCTCACTTATGATTTTCCTGATATGCACGAATCAACTACTCGACCATGTGCATCTCTTCTCAAAACTTTGGTTGCCAAGCGTCAGGCTTTTGATTTAGTCGCGCTTCAAAAAAAAGTATCCGGTGCAATTCATTCTGTAACTAGCTTCTATTGGCGTTGTCCTACCCTAGACATGGCTATTGATTTGATTTCTGATTACTCTGGATTATCTATGCTTCCTCGTTTACCATGGAATCCTTATAAGCAGGGAGTAGGACATATCTTGACTAAATCGCAATCGTTTGCCTTCCCGATTCCATACTGTTTATTGGATATAATGATCAACAGTCCTATTTGGTCTTATGCTTATTTAATGCCTACCGTCTTGGGACCTCATCCAAAAGGTCATGTTCGGCTAGTATTTCATCCGTCAGAAGATGCTTTGATGATAATGGGACTGGCAGATTTTTCAGGTGCTTTAAGCCGCTGTCGTGGAATTCTTGAATCTAAAATGTCTAGTCAACGTTGCTTCTCAAGAAATTTAAAGTCTAAAAATAAACAACCAGGACGTTACATTGCCTATCGTTTAATCGGTAGGTATATACTTCCACATCGTACATTTTTACAGCTGCGCTCTCGTCGATGGAATCTGTTAGCTAATCGTGATAGCATAGATAACGCAGGAGATTCAAGACCAGTATCAGTTGCCACTCGTTATCTACTTCAACTATATAAGGAACTAAGTCAACCGGGTGAAGTAGACCTTAAACGGATCCAACAATATGCTAATGAAATGAGTTCTCTTGCTATTCCTCATGGTATACCACTGATTACCTCATGTTTAAGTGATAGGAATCCTCAGGAACTGTTTACTTTCGAAGGACTTCCGACTGAAGTAGGTTATGAGGATGTATTAAGTTATAATAACTGCGGCGAAAGCATAAAACGCAAGTTAGATGTACTAACTGAATTCACGCAAAATGCAAACTGTTTTTGGAAATCGCAGACGGAAAAAGCATCTCGAAGTAAAGAGACAGAAACAAACTACTTGTCGGTTTTAGACGACGAATCCATGATCAAATTAGAACAAAATATCCAATGTGATGTTCTCGGTCCAAATTACCTACCTGCTATACCAGTTGACCTTAATCCTGATGGGTGAGTTATCATGTTTTGAACAGTATCTATGCTTATATATGTATATATATAAATATATATATTTATATATATACAACTGCATATACACATATATATTTACATATATATGTATATATGATCACCCAAATCCCTGCAGGTGAAGCGGTTTTCGAACCTTAGACCCGCTTGAATTACGAATGGGAAGTTGAGACCGATGAACCACGTGCATATTTCACATTTCATTCCAAGTGCACACAATGAAAGACTCATTTCATTTCTCTGAAAGTGTGAACCACATGAACGTTTTAGATAAGTTCATGGTGTCATTTGATGTAACCTCCTTGTTCACAATGATTCCAATCAACGAAACTATTGAGATCATTTGTCAGCAGTCTGATCTTCTCCCACTGCCAGAGTCGGAATTCAAACGCCTACTGCTAATGTGCACCATGGATGTGCAATTCCAATTTGACAACACTTTTTATCGCCAAATAGATGGTGTAGCGATGGGCAGTTCACTTAGCCCTGTTTTAGCAGATATATTTATGTCCAACCTTGAAAGAACAAAGTTGAAGCATGCAATCGATGAAACAACTTCCTACTGTCGTTACGTTGATGACACATTTATAGTGTGCAAAGTTGATAGTCATGCTTCACACCTACTAAGATTATTCAATGATACACACGCCAATATCAAGTTCACTATGGAATGTGAAAGTGACGGGAAGTTCCACTTCCTCGACATCTCCATGGAACGCCTAGAAGACGGTAGTCTTCAAAAGTCAATTTATCGTAAGTCCACATGGAAAGGACAATACTTAAATTTTAATAGCTTTTGTCCAAATAGCTATAAACGAGCACTGGTCAAGACTCTGTACTATAGAGCGAGAAGAATATGCTCTACAGAGAAACTAGAGGAAGAATTTGAGTTTCTTCAAAAGACTTTGAAGAGCAATGGGTACCCTCAAAGGTTCATCAACAAGTATGGAAGATCTGCAGTCGCAAATGAAAAACAAACCACAGTAAGAAAAAAGCCAGTCTACTTTGAGCTTGATTATAAAGACGAAAACATTGCAGCGATGATCAACAGAAGGCTGAGTACATCACTAGCCATAGCCTATCCTGCAGCTAAGCTCGTTCCCGTCTTTCGAACAACTTGCTCTCTGATGCAATCAAAAATCGATAGATATCCTTCTCATGTTAACTCCAACTGTATATACAAATTTACATGTATCTGTGGGAGCAGTTACATTGGAAGAACAGAAAGAAGAGCATATCTACGATTTTCTGAACATGTACCAAAAAGCTTACGTCTAAAGGGAACAAATGCTTTAGGCAGTTCCATCACCAGGCATCTTCTTGACACGGGTCATGAGATGGACGTGGAAAAGTCATTCAAAATTATCAATAAGCAAAAGAGTTCAATGCTCCTTAAGTTTGCTGAAGCCTTTTCCATCAAGCGCCTAAAACCTGATTTGTGCGTTCAGAAAGAAGCAGTTATCAGTCTTTCTTTGCCCTGGTAACTGGATATTTTTCATCCTAATGCGAGATACTGAAAAGTTTTCATTTTGTATGATTATTATTGCTCGGAATTGTGTTCAATATTGCATATATATATATATATATATATATATATATATATTTATTAGTGTATGTGTATATTGATCGATTGATTTCTGTTTAAAATGAACTCTGTGTAAGTATGTTAAATTGCTATTGTAGATACATTTAATAATGTTTTTGCCCTGTAAGCAGCTGAAGAGAAGGCGACGAAAGAAAATATGGTACCATTTTATTCTGCTAAATCTGTAGTTGCTGCTTTGTTCAAATTCATTAAGGGGAACAAATGTATGAAATTACTTGACTTTTCTTGGCTTACAAATTCTTGTGTGATTCTCCTTTCAGTACTGTGGTTCTCAGCAGAACTAGCGAGCCTGGTTTGGTTGAAGTTACCGAGGTCACAGATGAGCCAGGGTCAATTTCCAATGAAAAGTCGACGAACTTACCAAGCTCAGAAATACGGCATGGTCGTGTTTGTCAGCGTATTACATCACATCATATTGAATTCATCTTAGCCCGTATTAACAAACGAAAGTCAGATGGTTATACAAATAAAAATGAAGCACGGAGCGTTGCAGATTGCGATATTTTGAATGGTGTTGTGACGTCTGGTGTTAGTGATTTTATTCAAGGCGAACAACAACTTAATGAAGTTTCAAATGTTTTCGAATCTTATTACAATAATACTGGCAATGTAGCGCTAGATGCATGTCAAAAAGTAGCTGATTCTTTAGTGAACACCTTTCATCTCGGTTTCGATAGATTTTCCGGTGATTATGGAGACACATGTTTTAGTTCAAAGAAGTTTAACCACATTCTGAAGTCACCGTACATCTTTAATGCTGCTAATACTACTTCGTATCTGAGCCCTGGGTGCCCCAGTCATGTCCAGCCTATTCCGGACTCTCTAGTTTGTATCAGTGATGAGTGTCAGAGCCAACAAGCTGGTGTTTTCCCCAGTGCTTGTTTTGTGTCTTCCAGTCGTTTTATTGCACGTTGTCGTGCACGTGGAGATGCTACTTCAGCTGACCTTCTAACCTTGCCATCTTCGGTTATAGGTCAATCACAAACGCTGGTGGATGAAATGGATGTCAGGCGAGCGCGTTCCTTGTTAGATCGATGTCGAACTTATTTAGCTCCTGCTGATTACCGGTGTATGATGCGTGGCTTAATGAATCTTAATCAAGCTGTTCATTATCCCACATCAGCGGGTAGTAATCATGATCAGCAGTCGAGCAGAAATGAAGTCCTGGTATCTCTTGCATGTGTATTGAATTGTTTGAAAAAACATGTACCATTGTGGGAGGATTTTGTTCGCTTTCTGACTCCATCACAAGCCCGTAGTTTGGGTCTGCTGTCTACCTACTTAAATTTAGCTCGCATTGGTCGAGTTCAAAGGGTTTTGCAAGATATTGTTCCTCAAGATAGGAGGTTTTGGAGACGACTGCGCAACTTGGCAGACAGCTGTAGTATTAAAGCACGTTATATGCCAGTTAAAAAGAAGGTATATGTGGGTCCGAATGGTGCGCCTGCTGAATCTTCAAACACATCCGAAAATCCCAGCGGTTGCAGTGAAAGGGTATCTGACGGAATCCAGACCACCCACAAATCGTCTATGACAGAACAATGTCCTGTGGTGGACAGCAATCAGCCGAAGTCTCCACGTTCTAGAAGTGTGCAGCTGAAAGGAGGAGATATGCATGATTCGTTTGCCAAAGCGTGGTCAGTTCTTGAGCGCAGCTGGCGCAGTCGTCCTGTCCTGCTATCTTGTATCGCTAGTGTAATTAACACCAGACACAAACCTTGTTCTGGTTTTGAACAGGTGAGCTATCACGTGAATACATGCTTTTACTTTTTAACATACTGTAACTTTTTTGTCTTAATGTAAGAAGTCTCAATGGTGTACATATGTCCAACTAAAATTATAACTCAGGTATGATGCAATACATGTCAAAATCTAAGTAATCATAAAATTTAGCTGATCAACAATAGTCACATGTATGTTTTGTTATAATTGCTTATTACGAGATAGATGAATGTATAGATCTTACACTCATTATTTATGTGCTTTCTTAAAATCAATAATTACTAATGATTATTCTCAGTATATAAATGAGGTTTTTATTCATAAATTAGTAGGTCCATACAACTTTAAATGTCGACAAGTATTTCTGTGGAGAGATTTAAAGAGAACTTATTGGAAGCTGCTTTGCGAGCGAAGGAGAATGCTTACTGTCCAATAAGTCATTTCGCTGTTGGTGCATCAGTGTTGACTAGTGATAACAAAATATTTTCTGGTTGTAATGTAGAAAATGTTTGTTTGCTGTGTGGTTGGTGTGCTGAAGTCAGTGCAATTGGTACAGCAGTATCAAACGGTCATCGAAAATTAACTGCCTGTGCTGTAGCAACTAACTCGCCTACCTACGTTACGCCATGTGGACGTTGTAGACAAGTGATAGCAGAGTTTTCTGATAGTCAGTGTATTATATTTCTTGTGAATAAGGACAAAGAAGTGAAAACTGTTGAATTCGGTGAACTATTACCTTCTGGATTTAGTAATGAAGACTTGAAGAGTGGATGTGCAACGAAGGAGAAGAAAGCTTAATTCACTCTTGTCAAGATTCAAAAGTCATTATTAAAAATCAGTAATTGAATGAACAAAAATGACGAAAACCTTGTTGGGATTTCATTGTTATTCTGATATTCTTTAAAATAGAAAATATGAGATTACTTAAGTTTTGCAGTGTTTTTCTAAAAATGAAGATTATTTGTGAATTTCAATGTTTCGTTGCATTTCCATTGGTGGATAAGTTATCAGAGTGACAACTTGTGAATGAACTTTATGAATATTGTGGTGGCTTAGGAGTGTGTGTCTGCAGGATTCATAAAAACTTGAGTTGGTATAATGATATTTTTTGTAATATCTGATGCTTAGGGTTTTGCTTAGATTACTATTCTTTGGAAATACGCTGCAACATGTTGATTCTTATTTGAGAGCTCGCAGTATATGTGATATATTTAACACTGTCTTTTTTGTGCACTTCAGATAAATGGGACAGATTGATTATATTTATTGAATACGTCTTTCTTTGTGAACTCAATAGTCTGGAGGTTATAGGAGAGAAATATCAGAAATCTGTTCACCTCACTGTTGATTACCTGAAAATTCATGCGAGCTGATATACTAATTTTCAGAGTGTTGACAGCATTTATTTATGTTTCGTCAACAGCTTATATAACTTTGCAATTATTGTACAGGTTTCCTGAGATATAGGTCATTGATGATCAGTTTGTGTAATATCACTAAGTCTCGAAACTTCTCAGGCGAATTGTAGTCAATGAGGATAGCGATGACCTTTATCTTGAAAATAAAATAGAGACAGTGTAATCAGTTGTGGCGAGACCAGCTCATTGGTAAACGCCCTTTCACAAGAAAAAGTAAGACAGACCGGATTATATGGTAAGCTGAAGTTTTCTGAGGATTGTGAATGCGCTTTAGCAACGGTTGGTAAATATTGTGAAATCTATGGCTCGTCTTCAAAAGGAAGATACTGAGCGCCAACTTGATTTGTCGAAAACAAGTGTGCAATTAACTGAGAAACCCTTATGTATTGGAAGAGACACTATTGTATGTGACATTTCCACGACTACTCCTCGCCTCATCATGTCTAAATATTATCGCCGTAACGTCTTCAATACTTTGCATGGCTTATTCCGACCAGGTTTTCGAACTACTGTCTAGCTCGTAACTAGTCGGTTATGTTGGCCGGGTATTAATATCGAAGTAAGGGTAATGGGCAAACACGTGTGGAATTGATTCTGTGAGTGTTCTTGTCATAGTGCCTATTGCGGAATGCGGATAATATGTTCAGGTGAATTAGAGTCATGTTCAAGCGTATTTGGTTATTCGCCAGTTGAGCTAGGTGATGGCTTGGCAGACTGCGCGACATATGTCCTAACCATCTCAGTCGATTGATTTCCTCTCCTTACCTAATACTCGACCGATGCCCCACCTCCGTATCGCCCGCCTTGTTATACCACCTAACACGGGAGATAGAACGCAGATACCTATGCTCAAAGACAGCTAGTCAGGCTTTCCATGTCCTCCACTTCCAATGGCCATTGCTCACAGCCAGCCATAAAGGAGGATGGAGTGGACTGCTGAGCTGTACACACGTCTTCTGATCGATAGCCAGTCGGATATCACGTCTGCTGAGGCGGACATGGCCTCAGTTGTCGTATGCCAAGTGATTGGAACTTTCGTAATGCATGTTTCTTTGGAAACGGAAGCTGCTACTTTTTGCAGTCGTTTTCAAGAAATTAAGTCACTCTATAGTGGAGTATTGGAATAGTTCACTATTGTCCTTCATTACATGAATAAACAACGCATTATGGTCCTACACATTAAGTTGAAATGGTTTTCCTATATTGGAGTTAGAAACTCTTGGTGATGTAACTAAAAAGCGATTTAAGCAGTGCAGATGTATTCATAATGCATTCACTAAATATTCTTTTATATAATGTCAGGGATTGGGGTTACAATTTTTGACATTTTTCTTCTCACACTCGCCGTACATCTTACTACCTTCTAGTTGGTGTGTATATCCGATGTGTGACAACTTGGCCAACTACTCATTGATGGCAACTTCTATATGTATAGTAAGCGTGTTCGCCTGCTTACTTCCTAATAGTCTAACATGTCATGTTTCACTTTTAACTTGCTATTTCCCACTTATTGGTACCTCTTGATATTTCGTTTCGGTATTTTTTAAAGATATGTTCGTGTAAGGTTTATGGGTGTTTTGAGGTACAGCAATTTTCATGCTTATAAGCGGAGAATAATCCTCATGCAGTACTCTTGTCTTTCTCTGATTCCTTTGACTGCAATTGATAAACGCTAACGTTTGCTATTGGCGCAGTAACTGATTTTGATGTCATTAGAAATTAATGTCTGATTAGTCTGCTATACGGAAACATGGTGTTGATCTACACACTAATTTGTGAATCATACTCACAAGTTCGAGAGAAAACTCCGCGATGAATTACTGTTCGACTTCGGATACTGGAAGAGTGAAAGATCTAGTCTCACTGCTTTGTTCAGGCGAACAGCTATACTTGGATTTCCATAATACAAGATTCTAGAGTTATGAATGACCTGTGGATGGATTCAACACAGAGTATGGTTTATGAAAACCCCCTGATAAGCAGTTTAGTGAATAGCTCCAAGAAACAAGCTGTGTTAGTGTATGGATTTCAGTCGTTAATGTGATTTGCCTCACGGAATGTTTGAAATAATGCAGATCTATTACTGAAGAGATTTCAAGCAATCAGGAGTGATGCGAGTGCTGATAGTAATTTGTTGACGGTCGACTCTTCCCAGCTGCCCACATTATGAGAATTGATTTGTTCTTTCATTGTCTGAAAGAGAAAGGAATTTTGGCGGAAAATGGAAACAGAATTTGTAATGTGAATTGGAGTCCTTTTTATTTCATAGTTTCCTATCAGCTGCAGACAGACTCCTACTCCTTTCATCGTGATTAGATTTTCTGATAGGACTCATCGAAATCATAGTTGCATTCTTTGTCTGTCCCTCTGCTTACAAGTGAGTGAGTCTAGTTATTTCCGTAATAAGATAATATTCCTTTCATTTTTGTTTAATTCAGTACATTTTTCTAAGATTCATAACAAGGAATAATGTCATATTATTTTATTTGTTTAGAGCTTCGAAGAGACAGATGTACTTGCTAGAAATCCTGTTGGGATTCCAAATGCTTCTGATGAATTGAATCAAAGTGCAAGTGTTTGTAATGTGGATGAATACACTCATGAACTAGAAGCTGATACCAACGTTCCTGTGAATAATCTCTCTCCTCACGTACAATCTTTATTTTCTGATGGATGGGAAATATGCACAGATCTTTCTTCAGCTGCCTACAACCGCAATAACCCGCTAGGAACAGCTTGGGCACGTAGGCAATGTCCTTGTCTCTGTCATCTAAATGCCTCAGCTAATAAGACTGCGGGTATAATGAATCAATCCGGAAAACCTGCAAAAGTGGATTGTATGGGTTTGAGACATTGTATTTCTTGTAGCCTAAGAGTAAGTTATTGCTATTAGTTCCTAATCAACGAACTATATGCAAGCGTAGTATTTCTAGTCTTACATACGCTTTTACTTATTTTGATATTTTAGTTAAACAATCCCAAGAAAATAATTGCAATAAACTTTCAAAGAAAGCTGTATTGCTTCCTAATTTATTTGTCTTTTTCTCCATTCTTTACTGGGAATTGTAAGATGATGGTATGTGAGACAAATGGTACGTGTCATTTAATTAGACTTTCGGAAATTAATTTAAAGCACTGTTTGGCGTTGACAACATAGTAAGTTTCCTAATACAACTCAAGTTTACAAAGTAGCTGATTGTCGAATCACTAGAATTTCTCACAGAAGTCCATTTGTTCAGGTTGTTGTATTCCGAAAATGAAACAGAATGACAGGACAGTAGAAGAAAACATGATCCACTGATGCATATTTTTAAGTTATTCAACAGCCAATCAAAACAACCCCATGCTGCTTTTATATACATTGACAGGTTTACTGTCACTTCGACTTATAAGCTACCTTTCCACATTATAAACGTCTTTATAATGATGAACATGATAGTACAGTATTGCTTAATACGTAATGATTTTATCAAAAAACTCAATTACTATTCTATTTGTCAGATGAGCACATTGCATGTGGAGTTTGTTTCTGCTGATGTTCACTTTCCACTTTTATATTGATAAGTGCTTTATTTTTTAGGTGCATCGTGGGACACTTTATATTGATGAGTGTAATCTCCACCTACGTCATGTGCAGATAACTTGGCCACTTGGTTTTAAGCCCAAAACTCGTTTACCTACAAGTATTCCATCAAGTGATGCTCTTTCGACTCAAAACCATCGTTTAACAACAATGCAACATACATCAAGTATATCCACGCGTGTTGCTGTAAATGAACTTGCAAAAGTACATTCCAAATCATATTCATCAAATAAATTATCGAATCACTGCACTCGACTACCAGATATGGCTGGTAGGCGTGTTTCAGTAGAATATGTTCATACACGTAAATCGACCATATCAATCAATCATGAAATCATCCCTTCAAATAATCACGGTTATGGTGATACTCTAGGAGCAGTTGAAATCCAGTCACCGTGCGATCTAACAGATTTGAACCTAAGATCATTTCTTGAACATAACGAAAGTGACTCAATCCCACAGGATCCACGCTCAAAATTTGGCTATTTAGAAAACCCTATAAGCTGGACACTAGATGACGAAGCTGCTTGCTTTAACACAGAGGCTTTTGCCTCTGTATCAGATGAGAACCATGAGTGTGAATTCCGTGTATTTAGTAACAGTGATATGGATGACTGGACCCCAGAAGAAGACAGGTAATTACTAGAATTTTGCAAGACCAGGGAGCATTACAGTTCCAAAATGTTCTCAATCCTGGCTGAAATCTGGGAACCTAAACCGTATGATTTCTGTCCTCAACGGAGCGCGGACGAACTAGAGGCGCGTTTCAAGCAACTGATGCGCGCCACTTTGAAGGAGACTTACGACCCTGAACTATTTCAAACACCTTGCACACTAAATTCATCAACTGACAGCGGTGAATAGGTTTTTATTATCATTTGTTTATTACTCTTTACATATTTCACATTCGATTTTATATGCCTTTTTTCTTCTAGTTACTTGAATTTTCCGGCTTTTAAATCTTTGTTTTCTTCCTGTAATAATGATTCAAAATTAAATGTTTATGCCAATGACCTTTCTTTAATACTATATAATTTATGTTGTTTACATGAAATTTAAATTTTATCATCAAACCAAAATCAACTCTGGATAACTTTGTGATAGTTTAGCCTTTAAATAATGTATATATGTTATCTGAATGTAAGTTCAAAAACATATTGAAATCGTTCTCAATGGCTGGCGCAGATATATCCACTCCTTGTGACTTACTTATGATTTCCAATTAAACTGTTTTGTTCTTCGTTATTACTATTCCTTTGTCTCACACCTCTGTTTACTGTCTCTAATATGCATTTCTCCTGCTTTCTTCTGTTGCTTTGTGTGCTACATGGAGGAAGTGTGGCGATTTGAACTGCCGCACATATGTGCAAAGTTCTATGTCGAAAACAGACAGACAGATTAAAAATGTGTATATAATCCATGTGTCACCGTTTTATACTGCTGTCGAAGAATCAATATGTAAGCTAAAACATAAGTGAAAACTGTGGAATCCTCACATTTTGTAGACATTAAAAGCCACCTCTTGCAGCCCTCCGAATAGTTATATTCACCTCCTAGAGAATTATATTAGCTAAATAGTGTGTTATTTTATTTTGAAGTGAATTAAATTAAAAGTCAATCTGAACGAAGAATATACTTTTCAATAACTTCTCTTCAGTTTCTTACAATTATAAAATATAATATTTGTTGTTGTGACAATAATGGCTAGGCTGAAATCGATTACAAAATATTGTAAATTATGAGACAGTGGTGGCGATACGTCCTAATAGATTTGTAGAGTGTGGAGTAGGAAAAATGAGAGGTCATTTCAAGGTTATAAAAGGTGTCAGGCGAGTAGCACCTAACACTAACCATAAGAACAAGGATTGTTAGAGCAATTCTGTAGTAACACGAAATCTGAACAGACTCCAGGAATCGATGGCTGAAATAGTTCATAGTTTTTATCAAAAATACCTAATAATGCAGATATAACGTCAGTCAATAACACATAAACACAAATGATCAGTATGATTAAGACCATATATTTCGTAACCACATATATCTGTTTAATTAACTAAAAGGCAATTAAGAGGGAACGACGGATTCACCTGTCGTTGTCCATTCAGTCCTCGTTTACGCCGCAACTGACTGAAGCTGGATGAACTAACGGATGATTGCTACTTGAAACTGTCTAGTTTCCTGCAAAAAGCAAAACGCTTAGATATAGTTGTTTAAGCAGGCGACTTCAATATCCTAATAGGGAAGTTATGCCAGATTGAGAAGTATATAGGTGGTACGCATGGAGTTCCCTGCTGACGAACCGACAACGGTGATCGTCTTCTAGAGTTCTGTTCAGAAAATCGTCTGTTCCTAGTGAGTACTAACTTAAGGCACAAAGAGAGACATTGCCTAACCTGGCGACCTCGATCTCCAGATCAATGTTGTACTCAAATAGACCACATATTGATAGGCTATCGTTGGCGAGGATTAGTAGAAGACTGCCGCTTCTTCTAGAAGACGTGCGTATACTCCGACCACGCCCTGGTTCGCTCACGTTTATGCTTACGATTAAATGGGCATAAAACACTGTTGGCAGAGTGGCAATAACATCCTTTAACTAGATGAAGACACTGAGTCTCTATTTAAGGTAGAAATAGCTAAACACGTATCGGAGATGGACAGCAAGACTCCTCATGAAGAAGCCTGGCTCAATATACGGTTAACCGTAGACACAGCTGTAAAGGCTGTTGTTAATAACCTGAAACCAAAAGTTAGTAAGAGCCAGTGGATTTCTACCACCTCATCCGAACTGATTAAGGCAAGAAGACTGATTCCAGCGAGCTCCGAATATGATGAGGAGTGAAAGCTTCTCAAAGGTGACCGTGGAGAGTAGTAGGCGAGAAAAGCATTACGTTGATGACACATTTATAGTGTGCAAAAATGATAGTCATGCTTCACACCTACTAAGATTATTCAATGATGCACACGCCAATATCAAGTTCACTATGGAATGTGAAAGTGACGGGAAGTTACACTTCCTCGACATCGCCATGGAACGCCTAGAAGACGGTAGTCTTCAAAAGTCAATTTATAGTAAGTCCACATGGAAAGGACAATACTTAAATTTTAATAGCTTTTGTCTAAATAGCTATAAACGAGCACTGGTCAAGACTCTGTACTATAGAGCGAGAAGAATATGCTCTACAGAGAAACTAGAGGAAGAATTTGAGTTTCTTGAAAAGACATTGAAGAGCAATGGGTACCCTCAAAGGTTCATCAACAAGTATGGAAGATCTGCAGTCGCAAATGAAAAACAAACCACAGTAAGTAAAAAGCCAGTCTACTTTGAGCTTGATTATAAAGGCGAAAACATTGCAGCGATGATCAACAGAAGGCTGAGTACATCACTAGCCATAGCCTATCCTGCAGCTAAGCTCGTTCCCGTCTTTCGAACAACTTGCTCTCTGGTGCAATCAAAAATCGATAGATATCCTTCTCATGTTAACTCCAACTGTATATACAAATTTACATGTATCTGTGGGAGCAGTTCCATTGGAAGAACAGAAAGAAGAGCATATCTACGATTTTCTGAACATGTACCAAAAAGCTTACGTCTAAAGGGAACAAATGCTTTAGGCAGTTCCATCACCAGGCATCTTCTTGACACGGGTCATGAGATGGACGTGGAAAAGTCATTCAAAATTATCAATAAGCAAAAGAGTTCAATGCTCCTTAAGTTTGCTGAAGCCTTTTCCATCAAGCGCCTAAAACCTGATTTGTGCGTTCAGAAAGAAGCAGTTATCGGTCTTTCTTTGCCCTGGTAACTGGATATTTTTCATCCTAATGCGAGATACTGAAAAGTTTTCATTTTGTATGATTATTATTGCTCGGAATTGTGTTCAATATTGCGTATATATATATATAATTAGTATATGTGTATATTGATCGATTGATTTCTGTTTAAAATGAACTCTGTGTAAGTATGTTAAATTGCTATTGTAGATACATTTAATAATGTTTTTGCCCTGTAAGCAGCTGAAGAGAAGGCGACGAAAGAAAATATGGTACCATTTTATTCTGCTAAATCTGTAGTTGCTGCTTTGTTCAAATTCATTAAGGGGAACAAATGTATGAAATTACTTGACTTTTCTTGGCTTACAAATTCTTGTGTGATTCTCCTTTCAGTACTGTGGTTCTCAGCAGAACTAGCGAGCCTGGTTTGGTTGAAGTTACCGAGGTCACAGATGAGCCAGGGTCAATTTCCAATGAAAAGTCGACGAACTTACCAAGCTCAGAAATACGGCATGGTCGTGTTTGTCAGCGTATTACATCACATCATATTGAATTCATCTTAGCCCGTATTAACAAACGAAAGTCAGATGGTTATACAAATAAAAATGAAGCACGGAGCGTTGCAGATTGCGATATTTTGAATGGTATTGTGACGTCTGGTGTTAGTGATTTTATTCAAGGCGAACAACAACTTAATGAAGTTTCAAATGTTTTCGAATCTTATTACAATAATACTGGCAATGTAGCGCTAGATGCATGTCAAAAAGTAGCTGATTCTTTAGTGAACACCTTTCATCTCGGTTTCGATAGATTTTCCGGTGATTATGGAGACACATGTTTTAGTTCAAAGAAGTTTAACCACATTCTGAAGTCACCGTACATCTTTAATGCTGCTAATACTACTTCGTATCTGAGCCCTGGGTGCCCCAGTCATGTCCAGCCTATTCCGGACTCTCTAGTTTGTACCAGTGATGAGTGTCAGAGCCAACAAGCTGGTGTTTTCCCCAGTGCTTGTTTTGTGTCTTCCAGTCGTTTTATTGCACGTTGTCGTGCACGTGGAGATGCTACTTCAGCTGACCTTCTAACCTTGCCATCTTCGGTTATAGGTCAATCACAAACGCTGGTGGATGAAATGGATGTCAGGCGAGCGCGTTCCTTGTTAGATCAATGTCGAACTTATTTAGCTCCTGCTGATTACCGGTGTATGATGCGTGGCTTAATGAATCTTAATCAAGCTGTTCATTATCCCACATCAGTGGGTAGTAATCATGATCAGCAGTCGAGCAGAAATGAAGTTCTGGTATCTCTTGCATGTGTATTGAATTGTTTGAAAAACCATGTACCATTGTGGGAGGATTTTGTTCGCTTTCTGACTCCATCACAAGCCCGTAGTTTGGGTCTGCTGTCTACCTACTTAAATTTAGCTCGCATTGGTCGAGTTCAAAGGGTTTTGCAAGATATTGTTCCTCAAGATAGGAGGTTTTGGAGACGACTGCGCAACTTGGCAGACAGCTGTAGTATTAAAGCACGTTATATGCCAGTTAAAAAGAAGGTATATGTGGGTCCGAATGGTGTGCCTGCTGAATCTTCAAACACATCCGAAAATCCCAGTGGTTGCAGTGAAAGGGTATCTGACGGAATCCAGACCACCCACAAATCGTCTATGACAGAACAATGTCCTGTGGTGGACAGCAATCAGCCGAAGTCTCCACGTTCTAGAAGTGTGCAGCTGAAAGGAGGAGATATGCATGATTCGTTTGCCAAAGCGTGGTCAGTTCTTGAGCGCAGCTGGCGCAGTCGTCCTGTCCTGCTATCTTGTATCGCTAGTGTAATTAACACCAGACACAAACCTTGTTCTGGTTTTGAACAGGTGAGCTATCACGTGAATACATGCTTTTACTTTTTAACATACTGTAACTTTTTTGTCTTAATGTAAGAAGTCTCAATGGTGTACATATGTCCAACTAAAATTATAACTCAGGTATGATGCAATACATGTCAAAATCTAAGTAATCATAAAATTTAGCTGATCAACAATAGTCACATGTATGTTTTGTTATAATTGTTTATTACGAGGTAGATGAATGTATAGATCTTACACTCATTATTTATGTGCTTTCTTAAAATCAATAATTACTAATGATTATTCTCAGTATATAAATGAGGTTTTTATTCATAAATTAGTAGGTCCATACAACTTTAAATGTCGACAAGTATTTCTGTGGATAAATTTAAAGAGAACTTATTGGAAGCTGCTTTGCGAGCGAAGGAGAATGCTTACTGTCCAATAAGTCATTTCGCTGTTGGTGCATCAGTGTTGACTAGTGATAACAAAATATTTTCTGGTTGTAATGTAGAAAATGTTTGTTTGCCGTGTGGTTGGTGTGCTGAAGTCAGTGCAATTGGTACAGCAGTATCAAACGGTCATCGAAAATTAACTGCCTGTGCTGTAGCAACTAACTCGCCTACCTACGTTACGCCATGTGGACGTTGTAGACAAGTGATAGCAGAGTTTTCTGATAGTCAGTGTATTATATTTCTTGTGAATAAGGACAAAGAAGTGAAAACTGTTGAATTCGGTGAACTATTACCTTCTGGATTTAGTAATGAAGACTTGAAGAGTGGATGTGCAACGAAGGAGAAGAAAACTTAATTCACTCTTGTCAAGATTCAAAAGTCATTATTAAAAATCAGTAATTGAATGAACAAAACTGACGAAAACCTTGTTGGGATTTCATTGTTATTCTGATATTTTTAAAAATAGAAAATATGAGATTACTTAAGTTTTGCAGTGTTTTTCTAAAAATGAAGATTATTTGTGAATTTCAATGTTTCGTTGCATTTCCATTGGTGGATAAATTATCGGAGTGACAACTTGTGAATGAACTTTATGAATATTGTGGTGGCTTAGGAGTGTGTGTCTGCAGGATTCATAAAAACTTGAGTTGGTATAATGATATTTTTTGTAATATCTGATGCTTAGGGTTTTGCTTAGATTACTATTCTTTGGAAATACGCTGCAACATGTTGATTCTTATTTGAGAGCTCGCAGTCTATGTGATATATTTAACACTGTCTTTTTTGTGCACTTCAGATAAGTGGGACAGATTGATTATATTTATTGAATACGTCTTTCTTTGTGAACTCAATAGTCTGGAGGTTGGTTATAGGAGAGAAATATCAGAAATCTGTTCACCTCACTGTTGATTACCTGAAAATTCATGCGAGCTGATATACTAATTTTCAGAGTGTTGACAGCATTTATTTATGTTTCGTCAACAGCTTATATAACTTTGCAATTATTGTACAGGTTTCCTGAGATATAGGTCATTGATGATCAGTTTGTGTAATATCACTAAGTCTCGAAACTTCTCAGGCAAATTGTAGTCAATGAGGATAGCGATGACCTTTATCTTGAAAATAAAATAGAGACAGTGTAATCAGTTGTGGCGAGACCAGCTCATTGGTAAACGCCCTTTCACAAGAAAAAGTAAGACAGACCGGATTATATGGTAAGCTGAAGTTTTCTGAGGATTGTGAATGCGCTTTAGCAACGGGTAGTAAATATGGTGAATTTGCAATGTTTATTTTCATCCCACTTCATCCGGAAGCATGTTATTGTTACTTTACAGGCGTTGTTTGCTTGATAAATAGATTTTGATAAAACAACCCAATGGATACTAACCTTGAATATTATTCGTTTTATATTTCTCACGTATGCTATTTCCAAATTATATTTCATAATAGGAAAGCTGCATTTTATCTTATGTTTGTGCTTTTTGTTTCTCTTTGCACTCTGTCTCATTTTATTAAACCATTTTTCTTGGTGACTCAGTTTCGCTTCAGCTTCGTAAACAATACTGAACCACTAGAGAAAACATCCTGTGGTATTGGAAGCGTTTTTTGTGAACGGAACATAAACAGGTACAACAAACCCACTTAAGACAATCTATCAGAAGTCATTCATGCACACAAACCTTATGAAGAGAATTTTGGTGTGAAGTGATTGCAACTATAAGTATTCGCCAGGGACGTATAATGTCTGCATTCCTGACTAAATCTATTGTTGACGTGCAATAAATTCGGTTTTAATTAATTCGCATTTAGTGATTGACAATTTCCTTTGCTGTAATTTTCAACCCTTCATTACTGTTTGTTCCTTTTTTTGTATGTATATAATACAAGTAATTCTCACAAATACGAATTTTCCATTTCTGTCCTCTCCGTGTAGCTCTTTGGTTTACTGTTATTCGGCCACTGTGTAATACAGTCACAAACGAGTACTGAATTTTGACGTCGCTGTGTAATTAAGTAACCAATAAATGGTTATTAAAGGGAAATCAGATATTATGTTCGAGATCGTGAAATTTCGGCTCATTGTTGTATTGTGATTGGGCTACAAACACACAGTCTATCAAAGTCTTTTGTACATCCAGATAAGCGTATTTCACTGTCATATTGACAGTCTCCGAGGTCTTTTGGTAGATTATTTCCATGTTACTTTTTTTGAAACACGAGGGAGTTTGTAGTTCAGAAAACTTGTTCGTGCTTATAGCGAAAATATTCGTGGAGGCAAATGCGAGCTTCAAAATGCAATTTTGGAAATTAGCTTTACAATCAACCGCATAGTCATTTAATTGGTGGTATTAATATTCCAAAGGAAGAAGGTGGTCCAAATACATTCAAGAACCTTTCAGATTGTTAAAGATTTGTCTACCGCACATCAAGATGTCAGCAGCAAATATCCGGTTCCCACTTCACTATAGCCTGATATAATGCTGTCTAAAGTTCATAATGCAGATATTCATGTTGAGAAATCCAATATTTCATCTACTAGTAATAAATGGCATACAAACAACAATAATATCAATTTTTATTTTTCATATTGAAAGATTCACTTAAGAGGTACTTATCACTTTCGTAAGAATGCACATGTTATGCTTACTACCATTTCATTTACAGGCATTACGCATCATAAGCTGCGCATTATTTGTGTCGTGCAAGCTATTTCCAGAGTCAAACTTACTGACATTTTTGCGGCATGTAATTGATACTGTGTTATAATTATTTGTGATAGCAGTATTTCGCAATGACCAAATTACAGGAAATCAACCAACAACATAGAGAGGGATGAATTTAGGAATTTGTATTTGGCAGAATTACTTGTGATTCACTTAATAAATATTAACAAACAGCAGTCAATATTTAAACAGTACAGTAAAAGGAATTGTCAATCACTACACACTGAGTTATGAATGGCTGTCTGATGAGTTGTATTCTGGATAGTATTAAATGTTTTGTGTCACAAATTAGGTTGATGATATTAAGTGACAATCAAATTTAAAAATATCTGCTGGATTTTCTGAAAGGTTGACTTTGAATCTAAAGATGTGATATTTTCACATGTTTATTATTTAACGGGAGGCATGATTCAGAATTCTGAATTATGTTCATACTTTGATTCACCTAGTTCCGTTGATTAGTTTAAACAAAGCATGAATAAATATATTTGGAGAATATAAATGGCTTAATTTTTATTTCATACTTTTTCTTCAAATGCTTACGACGTGAACATCCACAACTGATTACAAATGTTATTATGCAACGTACTTCGGAATTACTTCACCCCAAACGACATCTTTTTAAATTCTAAGCACAGTAATGGAACAAGTGGTAAGAGTAAAAGATACTTCATAATCAAACAAGTAGAAGTTATTCATGATAACAAGAGTTAAAATGAGGGGGAAAGAGTAGAAATGTTTTGTAAGTACAATTATTACACAAACTTTTCTAGTACGAAGTATTTTTCATTAATTGTAACTTGCTCGAAGTCTGTAGTGCCTTAATTTATTTCATTCTGAAACTGTGGATCACAAGAGCATATGTCAATGGAATCATCTTTAGGCAAAATACGTCTACCATATATGGGAATCACAATCTGCACGTATCTTCGGCATTGTGATTCTTTCTCTTCCTTTCATATTTTCCATATTGTTTCAGAGTATCGTTTATCTCTTCTCTTCGCCATTAAATCCATCTCTCCGTTGTTCAATATTCTTGCAGATGATATACATGTTGATATCTGTATCTATAAATTGCTTATAAAGTGTGTCAGTAGAACATGCCACAAACCGACTTATAGTTCAAATGGTTGAATATTTATTGATTTTATTGTTCCAGTTGGGGATTGCTGTTTTTTGCATTTTGACTTTTGATGTGTGTGTTTGTCTATCAAAGCATCTGAAACCCTACTGTATTCACTCTGCTTTTTTAATTTTCAGATAATGATGGTATACCACTTACTTATTATTAACTTAGTTTATCAATTTTAGACGTATTCACCTTTTCCACATTTTTAGTAAGTCACCGGTTAAGATTTTTATCCTGCTCTCCTGTCTTCTTAATTCTTCATCATTTTCAATCAGCAATGTTCATCAGGAGGAATGTTTAAAAGTTTGTATGGTGATAATGCGGCATGTAACGCATTTGATTATTCATCACTGTATTATACTTTCACTATGTGATTCGACCTTGATTTGTTTGTCACTCTAAAGATTGCGTGATAATAATTGATACATTGTACTCGCTCAACTTTTGAATTTCGACTACTACAAGAATACACGTTCAAACTCCTTCTCAAGTGCCATTTGATATACGCTGTGGATGTCGAGTAATCACAACGTTAGGACACAATAGTAAACGCGAATAGGTACTAGGATATACGTGTGCACTAGGTTGGTCAAATACAGCAGCACAACAATATTACCTATCATCTCACCAATAAGTACTTAAAAAACAAAGTCGTCTATTAAGGCAGGTGTTTGGGAAAGTGATTTAATCTTTCTAATTTAACTGTGATCACTCTGTATGGATGGTCACAACTCTTCTTAGTCCGATGTCACCACTTATCTGAAGAGAGAAAGAACAAACATTGGTGCCGTTTTATTTTGTTGATTCTCTAAAGCTGCATACAACCTATTATTTAAAAAAGTAATAATACAATTTCAGCATGCATTTTGTTTAACATCATGAATCATTACTCCAGTACAGAGCTTGAGAGAACCAACAAAATAAAACGGGTCCATATTCTTCTGCACTAGCGTTTTCTCTATCCCTATTCATCTTTATCAAGTGGAATTCTCAAAAGAATGGATACTGAACAAAGAATACTCTTTTCGACAACTTCATCATCAGGCTCTACAGTTAAATATGCATTACAGTGAATGAATGAATTAATGTTATGAACAACATTATTGTTTAAATAACATCGAATCAATAATGATAATATCAATAGATTACAGTTCAGTAGCATCAACATAAAATAAGCTGAATGTCAGAAAGATTAGGAAAGATGATATTACAAATTCATGAATTTATTGTCTCTAGTGAGAGCCAAAGCAGTAGTAGGGGCTGGACTTGCTTGGATTGTTGTTATCAGTACAAAAACCTCAGATGCGACAGTAAACGTTTCTTGACAACGGAGCACAGAGAAGAACTAAAGAAACTGATAAATGATGAGAGAGTGATAATCACAAAGCGTGATAAAGGATCAGGGGTAGTCCTCCTTGATAGAAGTGACTTTATTAAAAAGATCAAGATGAATGATATACTGAAGGACAAACAGTTTTCAAAAACTTGAGGAGAAGAAAGATT